TGTAGCGAAGGATTAGTCGCTTTTTAGGACACATCTCCAAAATCTCCCTGTAAAATTTAGGACAAATAGGACACTTTAGGACGTGTCTTAGGACGCATTATCCTACACCCCTTACTATGGTTCAGTAGCTAGGCCGTTCGTTGAGATGGCCGCTGTGACAGCGACAGCATTGCATGAGCCGATTCGGCTAGCTGTTGCTGTTATCGGTGGGGGGGGGCATAAGGCCATAATGCTGGCAAGTATGCAACGCTATGATTGCATAGGTGAGCGTGCAGCGAGTTGGTTTGCTAATAGGTTTAATTGACATCTTGACGGCACTTGCTCAACTTAAGAGTTGGGAAAATGAAATGAATGGTGGTATCCGTGCCAGCACTATTCCGACGGGACACACAATTGCGGGACAGTCTGTAAATAAGGAATAAGTATACTGCACCATAAAATGCCCAGCTTGTATTTGGGATATCGCACTGATAGAGCACAGCTACCAACATAATAAACTAGTGGCAGAGGGTTTTTCTGTGCTCCCACCTGGCACGCGAAATCCGCATTCTGGCTGCAACACTATCAAAATGAGTTTGATCGCACCTAAATCTTTGGAAGGTTGGTCACTAATAATAGAGCACATGTTCTTCCGCTACAAAAAAACCAAGTCTTCTTTGGGTATTCAGCATTAGCTTCGGTCACGCGATTTCTCAAAAGACACTGTTTGAAACGAATAAAACGTGCTACTTGATGGATCGAGCCACAAACACATGAAATTGGCGCTCTTTGTCCCCACATGTGGACTGGGCTACTTTAAGAAAACCAATTCACATTAAAAACAAATCGTCAGATAATAGGGAAAATACACACAACACAGAGTAAAGTAGAAATTCTTCCAGTTTCCCGAAATAGTATTCGGATAAAAAGTTGTTTTTTCAGCTTTACATCTAGCTGTCTGTGCGAAAAAGGACGGCCAAAAAAGGTTGTGGACAAACTGCATGTGCTTTACATTTTTTGAATATGCTTCAGTTGCGTCATTACCAAACATAGAGCCTATTTTGTTTTTTTTTCGGGGGGGGGCTCCACAAAAAGTGTTCCATATCTGCGGCAGCACGGATATGGAGTATTCCATACCAAGGCAAGGGAATTGTGTTTTCCCCATCAGTTTTTAGTACCGGTACACCACAGACTTAGCGGTATATAATCTTCCCCCGCTTGCTGCTGGTTACACGTGGCGCGTTCCCTTACTTCGTATTAAAAAAACAAGCAGCAAGCAGCCAAGAAATAAGAGAGAGATCTTAACATCGTAATGACAGCTCAAGAATCCTCCGATGCACCCAGCGCCCCCCATTCGCCGGCGTCTAGGGCACGTACTGTTCCCTCGGACAGCGCAGATATGGCCTGTAGAGCCGACGTCTTGGATGTCACCGGCGGAGTGGAGCCACGAATCACCGCCTCAGTGCGCACTACGACGCAGCCTCCTCCTCTGCGTACGAGCAAGCGCGCTGCGTCACGTGGAGCGACCGCTGGCGCACCGACAGAAGCCCGGAAGGGCAAGAAGAAGGCTACAAAGCGCGTGGTCACGACTAACGTGTCTTGAACAGGGCTCGAGAAGGCCGACGAAGGTGGGGACGACGCGTCAGACCAAGACCCGGAAGAGAAGGCGGTCCCACTAAAGCCGAAGAGGTCGAAGAGGGCTGCACCGCCTGCGGAGATTGCGTCAATCGGCGAGATTGCGGTACCTACGAGGTTCAAGTCCATTTCTGGCTCTTGCGAAGACTTTGATCTGAGCTCGTTTATGGCGCCCTTCGAACCCGGCTGAGGCACGGCGACGGGCAGCGCATCTACTCCTGCGCTTCTCGCGGGAGAACAGCCTGACACAGTACCTGCTGCAGCCCCCACAGTTCCTGAGGTGAGCGTAATGGCTAAGCTGCGCGCCCTACGCGAAGAGGTATTTTGTCTGCGCATAATTTACCGTCAAGATCGCAATTGCTGGCACGGATCTCCCAATGCATGACGACGGCGGCCAACTCGAAGGGATATCTTTCCCCGCCAGCCGTACGCTATCTCTCGAGTGCATGTTTCTCGGGAGGTTCCAAGAAGACGAAGGGCGACTACAATCCGCCGCAAGCCCATCTGCTGGCCGCAAGTCGGATGCTAGATGATTTTGTCGCGCGAGCAAGAAATTTCTTCGGCAGGGCTCCGTTTCGCTAATGAAATACTCTCCACATCTGCCGATTTACCGAGTTCCCCGCTTTCCAGGCTCACCCGAGCCTGCGCTAGTGGATCGAGACACATGACGTCTTCGGCTATACAGCCTCCTTTGACTATACAGTCCGGGTCGACCATACAGTCACCCGCAGCTATACAGCCTCCCTTGACTACACAGTCCGGGTCGACCATCTAGTCACCCACGAGTATGCGGCCTGCTTTGACTATACAATCCATGTCGTCTATATAGTCATCCAAGTATACCCCCCCCCAGAGGGCAGCTCATCCAGGTCAGACGATCTGTGTATTAGCGAGCTTATACGACGAAACGACCGACGCGATAATACGAAGTCTGCCATGGTCAAAATCCCGATGAATCCTGATGATCTGTATGCATGCCTTCGACTTCGATTTCGGGTACAAGTCAAGCAAATTCAGTCAAGCTACATCCAACTAACAGAGATGGCACAGGAAACATACTTCGGATCGGAGGAGCCCCACGTCGCCCTGTAGTCTCAAGTCAAACCGCGGACCAAATGCATGAGAATGCACGCCAGCGACGGAACTTGAACCGAGAAATTCAATCGGCTACGCTCAGAAAGGTCATGGCCAGCTCCGGCATAAAGCTACTAGCGCCTCGTTTTCCTACAACGCAAGAAGGCGCTGATGGACCTGTGTTCTTGCTAAAAAAAGTCATTGTAACGCTCTCTGTCGGAGCTCGCACGCCGTTCAGCTTTACCGCTACTGGCGTTCGTGGAGCTGGTTCGGGGACAAACGGAGCGGGACTATCGCCCGAACAAGAATTGGTCCCAACGGTTTTCGGCGAGCTATACAGAGAATACAAGCACGTGGCGCAGGTGTAGAATACTGCTCGAGAAGGCGTCGAAGTTCAGCTTAAAGAAACACCACCTCGACAGTCTGTTCGCCTAGTGAGGACCAGCTTCCTGCGCAAGAGTATTAGGAAAGAGCAAGATGCTTGGAGGTGCCTGGTCCTCGACATGGATCTTCTGGAGCGGTGGTCAGAGACAATTATTAGCCCCTTCGGAGTCTTAGACACGGGCAGTGAGGACACTAATGTTTCTGGCCGTACGATCCACGATCTGTCATACGCTGAAGTAACATCGATCACTGATTGCACCGATCAGCATTACCAAGCCATTGCGACGCGGTAGCCCGGGAGATCTTGAAAACGAAGCAAACATTCCCCAGTGTACCAGCATATGCGATGACGGGCGACGTAGCTACGGCCTTCCGCAATATTAGCATTCATTGCTACAGCGTCTACCTGTTTACCAAACTGATCGAGGAGGAGAAAGCGCTGGTGCTCGAGCTGTCCGCGCCTTTCGGATGAGATCTTCGGCGGCGTCATTTCCCACGTTTATGGCTGCCATACGAGCGAAGCTTCCCCGGCTGGTTTCTTCAACTATCACTGGGTGGATGACCACATCAACGTCGCTGCGGGCGTAGGAATGACGTGTTACGACATGGAACGCTCCCTCTGCTACGCCATGGTGGCCATTCTGGGCGCTGACGCCATCAACACGGAGAAGTTCACTGAGTGGAAGACACGCCAGCGTGTCCTCGGATTGGAGTTCGACTCCGTCGATGAAGTGGTCACACTACTTGTTTCTAAGATCCAAAAGATACGCAAGATTGTCGCATCTGCTTACTGCTCCTTGGCATTAACCCGCAAAGGGTATTGGTCGTTAATGTGCAGCTTACGGTCACATATTGCCGGATCAGAAAATACTCGCGCTGACGCCGGCTCCCGTATTCCCGCTAACCCATCGTTTGCAGCTGTGTTTGCTTCGCTAGCACCTGGGTGGTCACAGGTGGCCTTGACGGCGGACATCCAAGGCCTGGTCAGTATCCGGCAACATATCTCCGCGCGCACTCCGTTGCCGATTGATCAGTCAACCGAGCCTTTAACAGGTGAAGAAGGTGAATTTCACGACGAGAAAATTTGTCCTGGCTTTATGGCATGACCCTAACTGACAAGGTGCAGCACATTTCGGACTTCGTTTTACATGGATTTCAGCTTGACTTCGGGTCCGGTGGCCCCAACCAGAGCGACTCTATCCTTCAAGTGATTCGCGCACCGAGCTTAAGACATCGTGGTTGTAGATTTCGCTGGACAGCGGACTCAGCGGCCGTCACAGGCTCAGGCCGTATGGTTTCGCCTGACTGGGTCCAGGACAAATCAAGGTGGAGCTTCAACGACAAGGGTGCTATCTCGCTCTGGCCATCAGTCTTTGTGCCCCGAGTTCGGAGCCCTACTTATCCTTTGAGCTAAGATGAACCTCCCGCAAACATTCCAGCCGCTGTGTACATCTCACGCGGGGAGCGACCAGCCTGTGTATCAACCGTAGACGTGTCCGGAGCCATCAAACGCGCTGCCGCTCGCACTGGCCAAGACCCCCGCCGATTCAGCTCTCATTCCGTGCGCGCCGGTGGAGCTACACATGTACTGATCTGGCACGGATGCACTCACAATCCAGTTCCACGGTCGCTGAATTTCCGACGCGTACAGGACCTACACCAGGCTCTGAAAGAAGTCCGTCACCACGCTCTCGGCAAACATGGTGGTAGGTCCATCGGGGGATTCGACACTACCTTTGGGAAGCCGATTGCATGACCATTAAAGAGGGCACCGCTCTTCTCGTCCCCCTTCGGATCGAGATGATGGTCATTACATAAGCTCTCATTAATGTACTCCAAATTTGGATGATCGAGTCAAGGGCGAGCAATCTTCTAGATAGATCATTTTATGCGATATGATAGTGTTTTTGACAGCCAAGATCAAATGAGTTGGTTTTCTATTTTGACCAATGATCAACGCCTGCTGATAGAACGCTGATCGCTTTTGATTGGTCAAGAACGTGCGACTGTAGCGGTAGGCGTTCGCATCGCGTCCACGATGACACTGCATACTTGAAATGAGCCTGCTGCTGCCACCGACAGCCTCTCGAAGACTGCACACCCACAGTAGGTACCTACACGGCAAAGTGGTGCGCATACATGCGACCCTCATCCGTACTGGCCGCCATTCGTACCAGCATCAGATTGGTGGCGGTGTTAGTGAGTGCTTGCAATCTACCAACGATCAGCATAACGCCGCTCATGGCTATTGGCGTGGATGGCAGGTACTCCGCGTCGCAGAAGCCGCGCCAGATAGTGATGAAGTACACAATGTGCGATTGCGGTAACGCGATGTCTCCGAAGCTAGCAATGAGTGCGTAGCTAAAAAGCAGGGCGCTATTGCCGAAATTCAACGGTAGAGCACAGTCTGTATAGCCCACCACCCACAGCAAAATAATTGGAAACCCCATTGCCTGTGCGAGGCGATTGCATGCCGACAACACCGGGAAAAGCGCACCGAATACGGCAGGCGGGACTTCACGCGAGCGCAGCACGCTTTTCGTTGCAATAGGCAAGGGTAGTACCGGTGACTGCAGTAAAATGCTGTAGAGCAATGCCGGCATCACCTTGAGAAGCCATCCGAACGGCTGACGACGTGTCACCCAGAAGAACAGCATCGGACACAATACGAGGCTCTGAATGGAGCACACCAGTAACACGGCGAGACACCATTTCCCTGCGAACGACGCGAGGTTCGCGTTGGCGGGGTCCACGAGTATTGATCCGATGGTGATCGGCAGTATCGCAAGCAGCGCCAGTGACTGCAACCAGTCAAGGATCGTGAACAGCGCAGCGTACATGTGCACGAAAAGCCTTAGAAGTGGGTTGCGTCTGGCATCGCCACGATCGCGGCCAACGCCACCTCCACGGAAGCTGCGCGTGACTGCTACGCCCAGAACAGTGGCAATTACCATGGAGCTTACGTGATAGTCACCGCTTAGCGCTTGTATCGCGTTGTTTGGGATGTAGAGCGCGCTTAGATGGAAAAGGTATTGCGTCAAACTCAGCCGCGGAATGGACTCGGGCAAACCCAACACGGCGTTCACGTCCACGAAGCTCGGAAACACTGCCGCGGAGCTATTCGAGTTGTCGAAGCTGTCAGCGTTGCAAGCGAGTGCTGTACCGTTGAGTTCGAGATACTTGTTGTTACTGCATCGAAAGCCAAACTGAGCGCTGGAGGCTTCAAAGCTCAGCTTGTCGGTTTGCTTTAGCGAAGAGCGAAGCGCGCCAGCCACAACGATGGCCATCGCCACCGAGAATATGCAAATAATGAGATAGAAGCCGAACGTCTTGAGCCAGAGCCGTCCTAAAGCTCCTCGTGCAGTCAGCATGGATACGGAGAAGATCACCTGACAGATCCCCATAGGCACGGCGGTGCAGTTAACGATGCGGATGTAGAGTATGCCCACCTCATTAAGCCAATACCCGTAGGCACCGGGTGGGTCAGCAGAGAGAATCGCGAAGCCGATACTAAAGCCTATAGCCATGAGCAGAATAAGCAGAAACGAGTTCATGGATCGAGGTAGGTGCTGTAGCGCTTGAGAGTGGATTTCATCGAAGGGTGTGGACTCCCTATTTTGCTCCGATGGGGGCTGAGAGGGTCGAGAAGCCGGAGGATCTCCCGGTGGCGTGCCCAGGACATCGTACGCATCGGCGGGGGTCCCGATCGGGGCGTCCCGGGATGTTGCACTCGTGAAGTTTGTGCGGACGTTTAACTCGGGGTTCATCGGAGCCCTTGATGGGCCAACGTAGGACGGGTAGCCAGCGTTCCCTGCAGCCGCACCGCCAAGAGCGAGGCTGGCACGAAGATATTGGTAGAATGAGGTCGACGAGATGCTGGCCTCGAAGGCACCAGGAAATCGTTGCTGTTGATCCTGGATCTGCTCTTCTTGCTGTCGCTGAAGCGTTTGAAGTCGTTGGTTCTGTTGATGAAGCTGCTGCAAGTGGATTGGCGGACCACGCTGCGGTTGTGGCGGCTCGTACTCTGAAGACGTCGTGTCGACGCTCACAAAGCTGTTGAAGGCGGCACGGTTGCGATACGACGGGAATGCGATCTCCTCGTCAACTTCTTCGTGTACGGCGTCCGGATCTGACAGGATGGACTCGAAGCCATCGCTGCCTAGCGAGATGCGGTAGCTGGGGCGCTCCATGTCCACGACCTCGTCCGTATCGTAGAGACTAACATCAAGCTCACTGTGGGTGTCGGTGTCGTCGATCTCGCTGCCTTCGTAGATGACGTGGCGCGGCTTGCTCCTCCGTCCCAGAGTACTGACACTGTCGGCGCTGCCGGGGCCGATACTCATTTCGGACTCGGAAAGACTCTCGCGCCGGGGAGAGGTGCTTCGCCCGCTCATGGCTTGCGCGTAGCTGGCGCCGTGTTAAAGCTACCGCAGCACTGGTGGTTGCTACTATCTGACTGCAGACCATTTTCCCTGCAGATTTAGATGGCGTCCATGTAACGGACATTGTTGTTGAAGTGATCTCTGTCCTTTGATACATGGCTACACGTTGACGTATCTCAGGCAGGTATGAGATTTTCAATTGGACGATCAGCCTGGACGTGCGTCGAGACCGCAGGCTTGTTAATTATTAAAATACTCGGATCTTGTCGCGGGTTGTTGTCGCGCAGTGATGAGACAATAGTACTGCCAGTACCGCGCCAAACTCAGAGCCGCCGTCCGAACTTCGGGGCCGAAGCCGTAGGAGTCTGATGGTGGAGCTGGCCTATGCACCACCCGATCCAAAATGCGGTGAGCACTCCAACGCGGCCCAGCTGGCAGGCCATTCCAATCGAGTTGTGGCGGCGCGCGGAACGCCTGGCGGAATCCGCGAGCCTGTACAGTTACAGTACACTTAAGTATCTCTTAGCACACGTCACGGTGAGTTGACCCACTCTCCAGCTACAACGCACGAGCGTGCCGTTCCATTGGAACTTCCATGAAGTGGATCGACGAACAGCACAAACCTCCGCCCGTCCTTAGTAGTACTACGTTTTTTTTTAGCAGCTACGTACTTCGAAATATATGTAGCAATTTGCTAAAAAAAATGGCTATTTGCTACTAGCAATGGGCTGGCTTCGATTGCACTTCGTGGTGGATCGTTACAGAGAGCAACACGCACTGTTCGCACACTGTGCGGCACAAGGCATCGATCTGTCATCTTTCCTGCCCTATCCAGCCTGGATTGTAGGGTGACCGGTTGAACACCGAGAGTCTCGTCGAGACGTGTCGAACAAGATGTCGGACTCCGACTCGGAGGCACGCAACTTGACTCAAGCCTTGAGCTGACCAAGGCAGTGCACGTAACCGAAAAAATAATATGCGTAAAAATTAATCCTAATTTTTTAATTTAATTATTAATTTATGGCTGTCAACAACGGGAACAACCCCAATTTTATGTAACAAGCCGAAGAGCGTTCTATTGTGAGAGCGGCGTTCAAGAAACGCAATTGCGCACTACGTCGACGTCGCGTACATCCCGCCAACGTCTAACGAGTGTGAGCGCTTCTTCTCTCTCGCTAAGCTGGTGCTGTCTGATCTACGGAAGCGAATGTCTCCAGCCAGGCTCGAGATGATAATGTCTCTTAACTACAATCATGACTTGCGAAGTTTTGCAAATAATTGAATTATTAATTTTCTCAGCTCACATCGATGTATTACAGTATCAAAGTATTGCATTTTCGGGTTCCCACGGTGGGCCACGGCGTGGCCTGTGCGGGACCAACAGTTGGCCTTAATGTAGTCTAGTTGCACATATTTTTGCAATCGCATGCGTCCCTCATTGCGTGCTCGTAGTGCCGTCGCGAGGCAGGTGGATACTCGCGCCGGCCCGGAAGCCTGTCTTGGTCGCAGATGGCGACGCCGCACTGGGCTTGCGGCAACTTTTGCCAGCCATAAGGACCGAGGCCTGCAGCTACGGCGGAACGTTCTCTCAGCTAGTTTAATAGTGAGCTAACGGGCAATAGCGATTGCACTGCAGTTTGCAGTGCCAAAAATGACTTCGCTGGGGCGACCGTCGACATGGCGGTTTTATCGTGGTGGTGGTCGACCTTGGCGGCTTTGCCTTTCAGCGAGATGATTCGTGTCAATCTTGACACGAGTATGACAAGCGTACCGGTAGCTACATGTAGGATACCAGTACATCCAAGATGAGATCCTATCAAGAAACTCTTGACGAGAAGACCAAAGCCTCCGCTGCAGATTAGGAATATTCGTAGCGAAAGCGTCGTCAACGAGTCAGCAGCAAGCTAAGCCACAAGGGCGCGGCATCTGTCGCTTCCCGTGGGATACGGGGCGGCGCAATTCGGCGACGTCGTCCGAAGTTAGAAAACCACTTGCCAAGGCCAAGTGACTTGGCCAGAGTATCACGGAGAGTCAGCGGCTGGGGCTCGTCGCTACACATGGTCGTGCATGCGTAAAAGATAGGGCTGGGCATACTGAGACCAAGAGGCCGAGAGCAAAATCTCCTCCAGGATAAGCGCTCGGTGCGAGAGAGCTCCGTGCCACTCCCCTGCATCGTCGCCTCGCGAGCCGCAGCATGCTCGCCTCTGCACTCCTCATTCCCCAATTTCCTCCTGAGAGCGAAGTGCCCTACAAGCGTCGTTACCGGTTGGAGATTCCCGTTCCCGTTTCTAGTCCATTCAACAGCGTGTTATTCGTCTCCTGTTACAGTAAACTACCATGAAGGTGTACACGACCATCTTGCTCGCGGCCATGGCCATGCAGGCTGTGCTTGGTGGCGGCGGCGGCGGCATCACGTTCGACAACGCCGGCAGCTACTCGCCTGGTGGCACGGAGAGCTCCGCTGATACGTACACGGGGCAGGACGGCGGCAAGACTGGCTTGAACACACCCGTGCCGGCCACTACCCCGGCCTTGACTCCCGCTACTCCTGTGTCGACTCCGGCTACGCCTGTTTCAACTCCGGCCACCCCCGGGTCGACCCCAGCGACGCCAGTGTCGACCCCGGCTGGTACAACGCCTGCACCGACGACCCCGACGTCTGAACTGGGCTCGAGCGCTGGCTCGCACCCGGAGCAGCAGACGCCAACGTCCACGCCTGCTGCCACGACGCCATCCTCAGAAAATGGATCCGGCTCGTCACCTTCCCAGGAGACGCCTTCTACGACCCCCGCTGCCTCTACTCCTACTCCAGGACAGGACAACGGATCTGGATCGCACCCGGAGCAGCAGACGCCTATGAGTACCCCCGGTATCACAACCCCGACTTCGGAGCTAGGCTCCTCGGATTCGGACACCCCGTGCCCGACTCTTGAGTACAACTACCCCGCCCCAACACCGGCTGGCTCGACACCGGCGACTGAGCAGGGCAGTGGCGAGGAGGACACTCCGTGCCCGACTCTGCAGTACAACTACCCTCCAGGAACCCCTGGTCAGGAGACCCCATCGACGGGCTCGGGCTCATCGCCAAACCAGGAAACCCCGTCCACCCCTCCTGCTCCGACGACGCCCACGGCTGAGCAGGGCAGTGGCGAGAAGGACACCCCGTGCCCAACTCTGCAGTACAACTACCCTCCTGGAACCCCTGGTCAGGAGACCCCATCGACGGGCTCGGGCTCATCGCCAAACCAGGAAACCCCGTCCGCCCCTCCAGCTCCGACGACGCCCACGGCTGAGCAGGGCAGTGGCGAGGAGGACACCCCGTGCCCAACTCTGCAGTACAACTACCCCCCTGGAACCCCTGGCCAGGATACTCCATCGACTGGTTCCGGTTCGTCACCATCTCAGGAGACCCCGTCCACCACCCCAGCCGCCTCCACTCCGACCACAGAGAACGGCAACGGCTCTGGATCGACTCCAAGCCAGGAGACCCCGTCCACTGGGTCTGGCTCGTCTCCTAGCCAGGAGACTCCATCGAGCACCCCGGTAGCCACCACGCCGACTACGGAGAACGGAAATGGCTCTGGCTCGACTCCTAGCCAGGAGACCCCGTCGACCGGGTCGGGCTCTTCCCCAAGCCAGGAAACCCCTTCCACCACCCCGGCCGCAAGTACCCCAACCTCGGAGCAGGGAAGCGGAGTGGAGGACACGCCGTGCCCGACTCTACAATACAACTACCCACCGGGTACCCCTGGTCAGGAGACGCCGTCGACCGGATCGGGTTCGTCGCCAAACCAGGAAACCCCGTCTACGACACCGGTTCCTTCGACGCCTACGGATGAACAGGGCAGCGGAGAGTCGGACACCCCGTGCCCGACCCTACAGTACAACTACCCGCCAGCTACCCCTGCTGCCTCGACGCCTACCAGCAACGGATCGGGCTCTACTCCTAACCAGGAAACCCCGTCGACCGGTTCGGGTGAGGAAGACACTCCGTGCCCAACGCTTGAGTACAACTACCCGAGCCCGACACCTGATGCCACGACTCCTACTTCAGAAAGCGGAAACGGATCGGGTTCTTCCCCTAGCCAAGATACCCCCTCCACGACCCCGGCTGCTTCGACCCCAACGTCGGGCAACGGATCTGGATCGACTCCCGGCCAGGAGACTCCCATGAACACTCCGGCCGCCACCACCCCTGCCCCGGAGCAGTCAAGCTCGGGATCTCAGCCTAAGCAGCAGACTCCTACTTCGACCCCTTTTGCTACCACTCCGACCTCGGAGCTGGGATCTGGCTCCACACCAGGCCAGAAAACTCCTGTGACGACGCCTGCCCCGTCGACTCCCTCCCCGGAACAGGGATCGGAGACCGGATCGGGCTCGCACCCTGAGCAGCAGACTCCCACGTCGACACCGGCCATTACCACGCCAACGTCGGAGTTGGGCTCGCACTCTTCGGAGACTGGATCGGGCTCGCACCCTGAGCAGCAGATCCCTGTGACGACGCCTGCCCCATCGACTCCTACCCCGGAACAGGGATCGGAGACCGGTTCGGGCTCGCACCCTGAGCAGCAGACCCCTGTGACGACGCCTGCCCCATCGACTCCTACCCCGGAACAGGGATCGGAGACCGGATCGGGCTCGCACCCTGAGCAGCAGACGCCCACGTCGACACCGGCCATTACCACGCCAACGTCGGAGTTGGGCTCGCACTCTTCGGAGACTGGATCGGGCTCGCACCCTGAGCAGCAGACCCCTGTGACGACGCCTGCCCCATCGACTCCTACCCCGGAACAGGAATCGGAGACCGGTTCGGGCTCGCACCCTGAGCAGCAGACGCCCACGTCGACACCGGCCATTACCACGCCAACGTCGGAGTTGGGCTCGCACTCTTCGGAGTCTGGATCGGGCTCGCACCCTGAGCAGCAGACCCCTGTGACGACGCCTGCCCCGTCGACTCCTACCCCGGAACAGGGATCGGAGACCGGATCGGGCTCGCACCCTGAGCAGCAGACTCCTACGTCGACACCGGCTATTACCACACCTACTTCGGAGTTGGGCTCGCACTCGACTGAGAAGTCCTCGTCGGGCTCTGGCTCGTATCCCGAGCAGCAGACACCAACGTCTACCCCAGCCGCTTCAACGCCAACTTCGAAGGAGGGCTCCCACTCGACTGAGAAGTCCACATCGGGCTCTGGATCGATCCCTGCGCAATCCAGCTCAGGCTCCAGCCCTGCGCAGTCTAACTCCGGATCGGTATCAAACCAATCTGGCTCAGGCTCGTCCCCTGCTACGGAGACCCCTGTGACGGAGACCCCTGCCACCACTACCCCGGCTACCACCACGCCTGCACCGACGACGCCGACCAAGTCTGGCAAGACGGGCAAGACCGGCGCTGGCCAGCCTGAGACTCCATCCGCTGAAAGCCCTGACGACGACTACACGCAGACTGCTCAGCAGTCGCGCTTCCTGCGCGCGTAAGCACCTCCAACGAGCTCTGGAGATATTCGACGGCAACGGAAGCAAGTTCCGTCAAGGTTTTGATACGGGAAACAGCTTGTTGTATCTTTGTTCATGTCTGGCTGAGTAGCGCAGTAGCTCGATGTGCGTACTAACTCACAGCGAATACAGAAGCTACTTGACCTTTAATACTAGTACACAGTAGACTTCATTCATTTTCTTCATTGGTTCCACGATTGTAGTGCTATGAGTAGTGTACTAGTAGTGTAGTATTTGTTGACTTACGCACAGCAGTACTAATATGACCTGCTAGAAATAGTAATAGTAGTTCGGCATTGAAAAAATAACGTTTTTACTGAAGTACTGTATCATTTCCGTTTTCGCAAAAAAACTTAAATATTCTCTTGTGTGAATCAGTTTGCGATGTCCGCGCCCAAGGCCGAGAAGACTGTACATGGTGGTCCAGATCTGCAACCCCCTCCAGGACAGGACGCTAACGGCATCACGGTGGGACAATGGTCGAGCCCCGTGATACCCGACGAGCCCGAAAGCTTCATGTCCTCCAACGTCAACATCGAGGCTTGCTGCCCATGCATCCCTTTGGCGCAGATTGAGGTCCGCCTTGGGCTCACTTCCTACGCTGGAGCTCTGAGCTGGTATACGGTCGCCTACGGACTGTTGACGCTGGCACTCGTGGGCCTATGGCTCTTCGTGGCCCTGTGGATCTCATCACAGGCCTATCGCGACGCTACTATTGTTCTGGTTCGTATCGTGTCGATCCTCGTGTCCCTAATTCTGACGGCCATCCCGTCGCTGCTGCTGGTGCGTCGCATCTCGCTATTGCGCTCAACGATTCGAGAACGGTTTGACATCCCCGGGTCCGTGCGTGAGGACCGCACTGCGGCCTGGCAGGAGACGGCCCGGGCCATCCGTCAGATGCGGCGACAACTCAAGATTGAACAGGCCAAGGGTAGCGCCGTCGCCACGCTGCCAGCCTATGTAGTTTAAAAGCGGCTAAGCTGTTTCGACTTAAATATATGACTCCAGTTGTCCGTTTCTATGCTGGATCAGTAAGACTGCTTTAAAGCGATGCGACGTCTGGATGGAGTACTCCCGACTGCGCTGGAAGGTCTGCAGCAGCGGAGAGAGACGGGTAGGAGACTCCGGGAGATAGACAGCTTGCTTCGAGATGACCAGGACGACTCAATAGCTCGAACTGTGGCAGTGGCCAAGACGACTGGAGGCTGTAGCTTCGGATCGGGTCGAAATGCCAAGAAGAACGCTCGCTACTGGCTGAGCAAAGGCTTTTCTGGCCCAGGACCGGGGGCATACGCTGTGTCCAAAGCTGATCGCATCGTCAAGGCAAATGCTGGTGGTGGAGGAGCGCTGGGACTACGTAGCGGCTCTTGCTGTCGCTTCCAGCCTTGCGAGTGCAAGAAGCCGCGAGAACAAACGGAGATAGCAGCTGAACATTTCGACGGCAAGCGGCAGGATACCACGCAGCCGCGACGCTCCATTCCGCCTTTGGTGGCGTATTCTAAACCTATGCGCACGGAGCCTTTAGACTTTCAGACTCGAGAGCAGCAGAGACGAGTGTCCGCTGTGCAAGCTGCGAAGCAGAGATGGAAGCATGTGGGCATGCACTTGACTCCTACTTATCGCTGGACAGAGCGCCGAATGGGGACAGGAGGAGCACTTCCCATGGGAACAAGTACCAGTCGTGACGGAACAGGGAGCTTGACGACCAAAGCGAGACTGCGGAAGCTTTTAATTGCTGATCGGATGACGAAGAAGTGTGAGGCTGAGAGTGCCCGAGTTGCAAATTCTGCCACTAGAGCAGTGTCGATCGATTCAAAATTTGCTGCAGCCCCTGCAATTGATATGAGGAAACTTCCTGGTCGGGATTCTGTGAGCTGCAACCGCAAACACGAGCGAGTCATCACTTCTTTTGGCAAGTGCTGATGACCAAGTACAGACGCAATGAGCTGGTTTGCAAAGTACAGCGCAGACGCAGAAATCGATAATCTACCATTTTACAGTAAGGCTGTACAAGCTAAACCTGGTTGGTACTGTAGCTGCCATAAACCGCCAACCGCTTGGTGATCATTGGCACTGGAATGGCTGGCGCTGTTGGCCTCCTGCAAATTTGCAGCCAGCGACATTTGTGTGCGGTCGCGCGCGTATCATGACGAAACCACACCCATGCACGTTTTTCGGTGTTTGTAACTCCATTGTCGAGACACCCAGCGTGGAACCTTTCGGTGTTCGAATATCGTCATTGTCGGGACGTTTCGATGCTCGGTCTGGTCTCTTATGTAGCCATATCCTGAACCGGCGCGTGCCTTCTCGAAAGATCGTGTCGGTCTCACAAAAGATTTCACGTCAGGCCTTCAACGACGACGACGACCATGCGGCACTTGCTGACTGCCGCGCTTGGCGCCATCCACATTGCGTACGCCGACGGGTCGGTGCCGTCGGCCCCGCTGAACGTGGCGCTGGACGTGCTGGGTCCCGACGCACTCGCTGTCGCCTGGGAACCGCCCGCGACGGATGGTGGATCGCCCGTGTCGGCGTATCTGGTGGAATGGGACCCGGATCCGGGCATGCGCGAGGTGCAAGTGGTACAAACAAGTGCCAACACCGGCGCGAACGAGGTGCAAACTGTGCAGACATACGCGAAGCACGTGAAGGAGATTCAGCGCGTGACCACAAGCGCCACCGCTGTGGCGGAAGTACAAACGATCACGACAAGTGCAGCGCCCGGAGAGACGCTTGGTGGGGTCTTCACCATCCAGATGGACTCGACCAAGAGCGGAGGAAGCGTACAGAGATCAGGAGTCATTGGATTCAATGCCCCCGCTTCTGGAGATCGATCAGGTGTGCTGGAGATTTTGAATGCCATGTCGAATATAGGACCTACAGGTGTACAGAGTGTCCAGAAGTCGATGGCAGACGCACAGGGAGGCATCACGTGGACCATCATGTTCAGTACGGCGATGGGTGACGTGCCGCAGCTCACGCTTTCGAGCAATTTTCTGACGGGGAGTGGCGCGAACGTGGTGATAAACACACCGAAACAGGGCAATGTGATCGATGGAGGGACGTTCACGTTGAGATTTATGGGGAGTACGACGAAGGATCTGGCGTCAGATATTAGCGACGCAGGGATGCAGAAGGCGCTAGAGGATCTCGCCTCGATCGAGTCCGTGGATGTCACGCGAGGCGGCCCGGACGCACAGCACGGATACTACTGGGACATCACGTCCACGGGGGAATTCAATTCGGGCGACCTGCCGCTGATGACGGTGCCGTCAAAATCACTGAAAGCCACAGGAGCGAATGCCGTGGTGACTGAGCGGACGGCAGGGAACCAGCTGAAAGGATCCTTTCAGTTGAGCTATAAGCTAGCCCCCACAGGCGATTTACCGTTTGACTGCAGCGCTGCCACGATGAAAAGTGAGCTGGAAAAACTGGGCACGGTAGGGACTTTGGATGTGGTGCGCACAGAGAAGCCGGATCTGCAGGGAGGATATACGTGGACCATTTCGTTCCTTACTCTGAAAGGATCTTTAGATCAGCTGGGCACTGATATCCTGAAATTAGGTGAGACGCGGACGGACGGTGCCGGGCCGTCTATGGGGGTTCGCGTCGTGAGGACACGGCCAGGAACCGTTCAGGAGGTGCAGCAGATCCAGGTGACTACAACGAACTCCAACGTGAAGAAAACGGCATCGTTCCAGCTACAGACGACCTTCGCAGGGCAGACTCTAGCGACAAACCCCATTTTTGCAAATCCGATGGACAACGGCGCGTGTATGCCAACTCAGGCCGAGGTGCAAAAGATTGCAGTGACTACAGTGGATACGACGGCCACGGGTGGAGATGCCATTGTGTCGAAACAGGCTGCCATTCAGCTGGTGTACACTAGCAATACGGAGGGTGACGCGGTCTCGAAGACTGGGCCAATTTATCTAGACAAAGCAGGCGACGGAGACTGTGCGAAAGGTGCAACAACGATAGCAGCTGAGTTGAATAACCTTCCTGGAATTATTGGTCCTGTGACTGTGAGCTCTAGTGCTCTCCTGGCTACGCATGAGTGTACGTGGCAAGTGACGTTTACCAACCAGCCGGGTAACGTCGTTCAGCTAAAAGCAATCCCAGCTTCGAGTGAAGCTACTGCATCAGATACGGTCAATATAGTAGACGACACCATTACGCTTACTACGGTCACGGATGGAACCACCAACATGATCAAAACGGAGCTAGAGCGACTGGCTAATGTCGCCCAAGTCACAGTGACAGCCACGACTGGACTGAAGCAGACGTGCACGTGGAGCGTGACGTTCGACGGCAACGCAGGAAACTTGCCTTTAATGACTGTCTCCACAAACAACGGTGTTTCATACGGTGCTACAGGAACAGTGAGCGGAGACACCATCACGATAGTTGCAGGAACGGACGGTACGTCGACTGTGCTTGGTGGCGTCTTCGCGCTCGAGTTCGAGGGCCAACGTACGGGCTACATGCCGTTCGACGCCAGTGAAGCAGTGATGCAAACCCAGCTGGAGACCCTTTCAACGATCGGTAGTGTGGCTGTCACGAGGTCAGGCGCAGACCCGAACAATGGCTACGCGTGGATGGTCTCTTTTCTCAATAATCTTGGGAATCTTCAGCCTCTTCAACCGGACGCACTTGCCCTCACGGGAACGTCACCAAAAATCGACGTGACGGAAGTTACGAAGGGCGCTCTACCGCCTTTTAACAGTAAAGACCCGTCCAGTGGCCTCAGTTTCGATAGTGTCGTGATCACAGACCTTAGCGACTTGTCCGTGACAGCCTACCACGTTGACGAGAATGTCCCGTTCTACTTCCGCGTGTCAGCTATCAACGCCGCCGGAAGGGGCCCGCCTTCGTATTCTACGCCGCAGTATGCCATCCCTACGGCGCAAGTTCCAAGTGTCCCGACAAACGTCTCGCTGTCTGCAGTTGACGGCACCACAGTGGCGGTGTATATGAGCTCACCAGAGAACGACGGAGGCGCGTCGCTTGACTCGTACCGTGTCGAGTATAGCACGAGTCCGATCGTGGACGAAGTGCAGCAGATTCGCCTGGTTGTTCCAGTGACCAACGAGGTGCAAACGATCAGAATTACGACGGATACAGTGGGGGAAGTTCAGCTCATTCGGTTGACTAGCTCGTACTCTGGCTCGCCTGCTAGCGAGATTCAACAGGTGAACTGCGACGCTGACAGCAGCACAGGAACGTTCACTCTCACCTTCGGAGGCGAGACAACGGCGCCGATACCGGCGAGCCAAACCGATGTTCTGAAAATCAAAGCTGTACTGGAGGAACTGAACGCGATCACGACTGTGACTGTGGCATTTTACGGGGGCCAGACGACAGCGTGTCGCCCGTGCCCTACCTCAGGCTGTACTTCTGGGTTTAAGGTCACGTTCACCTCCGTCGTCGGCTATCAGGGTGACATGCCTCTCCTCACGGGCAACACGTTCGACTTGGAAGGAAATCGGCGTCTCGATGTCACCGAGTCAACTAAAGGCCAAGCTCCTGTGAGCGGCACATTTAAGCTCACGTATCTGAGAGGCAAGGATGCTGACACTGTAGCTCTCCAGTATAACGCACCGGCCGCTACTGTCCAAGCAGCACTAGTAGCGCTGGATTCGTCCATGACGATCGTGGTGACGGATGGGACTTTACCGCCGGCGAATGCCGCCAAAGGTGAGCGCTTGTGGCGCGTGACGTTCCAGAACAGCGGATATGTGCCGGACATGCTGGTTCGGCCGGCAAACAACCTTCTGCAGGGTAACGGCGCTGGCATCCTCGTGTATACTCGAAGCGCAACACCAGACCCAACCGTCCCAGTGTCTGTAGGCGGCAATCGAGTGTCGGGGTACTTTAAAGTACAGCTGGGTGGCCACACGACGGAGCGAATCAGTCACGACGCGTCCGACACGACCGTCAAGAGCAAACTAGAAGCACTTCCGAACGTGGGCACTGTGTCCGTGACCCGCTCAACGCCGTCACTGAAGAACGAGTATTCATGGACTGTCACGTTCACTGCAAACCCAGGCAGTTTCCCCATTGGAGCGGGTAATATCGACACGCTGGTGGCCGATTCGACATTACTAAGAGGAACAAACAGCCAAGCAGCCGTGACTGTGGTTCAGCAAGGATCTCTGCCACTTGATGGTACATTTAAACTCTCGAACACTGTGGGTGGAGTCACTCAGACCACTGCCAAACTATCGCCGTACGATACTGGAGAAGGGATACAACGAGCACTGGAAACGTTGCCGTCAATTGGCGGTGTGAGCGTCTCGCGGCAAACCAATAACGACGGATTTTCGTGGTTTGTCACCTTCAGTGGGTGTAGACTCAATCCGGCCGTGTGCAACATCGGAGATGTGAATCTCCTGGATAAAGTAGCGACGAGTTTAGTCGGTGGGTTGCTACCGGCAGTCCCGTCAGTGACGGTGACGGAGGTCGTGAAGGGAGTAGCCCCCGCCACGACGCTGCTTGTGACGGATTTATCAGGAGGAGACCCGTTCCAGACGGTCATTTCGAGTCTCACGTACGGTACTAAGTACTACGCGCGCGTGTACTGGCACAATAGTGTGAGTTTTGGACATCGAGCTGTGTCTATACCAGAATTCGTAACAACAAAGAACCTGCCACCTGGCCCGCCTTGGCCCGTGACGCTTGTGTCCTCGACAGCGACATCTATCACGGTAGCCTGGGAGGCACCGACTGTGAATGGTGGCGCCACAGTGAGCGGCTACGAGCTCTGGATCTCGGAGTGGGCCGAGTCCTCGTACAGAAAAGTTTACGACCGTCCGAATGACGCCGTGGCGATGCAAACGACTCTGCAGACGTCGGCAGATAACGTGATTGAATCAGGTCACAAGTACTCGTTTAAGGTTCGAGCAGTCAACTTCTGCTCGTCGGAGAACACCAATGCTGCGTGTTACGGAGCCTTCAGTGAGCCGGTGGAGTACACGGTCCGATCTCCTGTCGTTCCTGACCCTCCTGTTTCGCTGACGCGAGACTCTCGTACCACAATCAACACGAACGCAGCGAATGACGGCATCGTCTTCATCAACTGGACGCCACCAAAGGACAATGGCGGATCGCCCGTGACCAGCTACAAGCTGTTTATGGACGATGGAACCGGCTGGGCCCTGCAGACACTGATAGGCAGTTTTCCTCACGGATACACACACAAGGTGACAGGGAAAACGGAGGGCAAAGTCCTTCGCTTCTACATCCTGGCTGTAAATTCCGTTGGGCCATCGGGAAAGAGCCCAGTGTTGGCTCTGGTGGTAGCCAACGTGCCGTCCGCTCCAAGTGCGCCTAGTATCACTGAAGTATCAGCGACTGCAATTAATGTGGCGTGGCAACCTCCGGCCACCTGCACATCAACACTCACAGGCTGCAATGGGTCACCGCTACTTGGCTACAGATTGTGGCAGTTCGCAGGCGTCGCGGCAAGCTACACGGCGTCGGGCTCGCCGGTCAACGTGGAGATTCAACGTATTCGGACGACCGTTAGTGCTCCGGTGCCCGAAATTCAGAGCGTGACCGTTGTAGGCGCGTCCGGCAAGTTCAAACTGTACGTGAACTCCCAGCCCACGCCTTTGCTGTCTGTTAGTGCGACGGATCTCGAAGTACAGACCGCAGTGGCAACCTGCGGTGTGAATCCAACGAGTGTGACGCACACAGCGACAGCTACAGGTCGAACATGGGCGATCACGTTCGCCCTTGCAGACGGCCCTCAAGCCCTGATGGTGGTCGTCCCAGATCAACTCACCAACACGGTGCTCGCAGTCGCGTACACGACGTCTGTAACTCGAGTACAACTAGGAACCGCGGCACTTGGAGGCGACTTCACAGTGTCGTTCCGTGGCTTTGAAACTGGACATTTGTCGGTGACTACGACGGATAAAGCGGAGATGAAGCGACATTTGGAGAACCTTCCGTCCGTCGGCGTCGTCGATGTCACAACGACCGCAGGCCCCAACAACGCAATGACTTGGGACGTGACGTTCGTGACAGAACTCGGGGACTTGCCGCTGATAAAGGTGACGAGTGGCAGACTAACGGGCGGCAATCCAAATGTTCAGGTGACCACAATACAGGAGGGAACGCCCGGTCGAGTGGTGTATGACGGCGGCACTGCACCCGATATCTTGTCCTTCAAGTCCACCAACTTAGTGTCGGATACCCTGTACGCCTTTGTTGTCGTGGCTATTAACGCTGCTGGAGACGGTATTAGCGGCATCTCTACGCCTGCTGTTGCAGCGTCACCCGGTGCTGCCAGTAGCTACACAGAAGCGTACGGGCCGGCGCTGCTACAAGGAATGGCAGGCATTGTCTACGAGGTTCAGAGCGTGAAAACCAACGGGCTTACTGGTTCGTTTACGCTACAGTGGGGGACTTCCGGTCCTTCCAGCTCGATCGATACGACAACGACTGCAAGCGCCCTGGAAGCGATGCTGCCTACGACCATCTCGAGTCTTGGCGCAGTGCACGTGTCTCGGGCAGATCTCAACGGCGCAGATTGCGTGTGGTACGTCACCTTCGTGTCCGTCGTCGGTGACGCCCCCATGCTCGTATCAAGCGACACGACGCATGTTCAGCTCGACGAGTTCGTCAAGGGTGAGGCGAACGAGTTCACTATCGCTCCGCGAAAAGCTTCAGGCGACGTGGTGACGTACGCTACGCTGCCTGCCAATTTTCAAGGCAAAGACCGATTCTGGACCGAGTTGTGGGCGTCGCCTCCGTCGGTCATCGACGGCACCCACGAATTCGTGTCGGAAGGAGGCTTGGCCGTGTACAACCCAGTGGTGTACGAGATACAGACGCTGCGATTTAACGGCGTCGTGGGTACTTTTCGTCTGAAACTGGACACGACCAACGCGCGTGTGGGTGGCGTAGTGTCAACGAGCACTGCGCCACTGGATGCCGCCGTGCTGGCTGCGGCAAGCGACGCCAAGGCCGCTGATCTGATCAAGACCAACTTGGAGACGCTTACTAATATTGAAAGTGTGCTGGTCTCCCGCGTATCCACGTCCGGAGCAGCTCCATGGACGTATTCCGTCACTTTTGTGACCGATTTGTGCGATCAACCGCCTCTGGAGCTGGTTGGAGACAGCAACTTCATGGCTTCTGCGACTGTACTGACCATCAAAGAGCTCCAGAATGGAGTGTGTGAAGTGCAGACGGTCACGACGTCGGCCAGTGTGGAATCCACAGCCGAGGTGCAGTCCATATCGACGTGGCTGGATGCAACCGGGTCGACCATCCAGTTGGGCGGGTCTTTCTCACTTACATTTACCGGAATGGGCAGTATTACAGTTCCGTACAATGCCAATGCCGCAGCAATGAAGAACCTGTTAGAGTCTCTCAATGGGATCGACGATGTGTCTGTGACGGTGAAGAGCGCTAACTACGGGACGCCCACAACTACGGGGCTGCAGACGTGGACTGTGACGTTTAACGAGATCATGGGCAAAGTTCCAGACATCAAACTCGACTTGCCCACTGCGTTGACCGGCAGCTCCGCGACAGTTCTCATCAAAGAAGTGAAGCGGATGGGCTTGTCGTTGGGAGGCACGTTTGTGCTGAATTTTATGGGCGGGACGACACACAACTTGCCGTTCGATATCGAGGCTGCAGGCTTGAAGACGGAACTGCAGACGGCACTGAGTACTGTGCGAGAAGTGGACGTCCGGAAAGAGGAGCGCTACAATGGCAACCGCTGGACCATTTCCTTTACCAAGAACCTGGGAGATTTACCGCTACTCGAAGCGTATCCCTACGCGTACGAGATCCAGGAGATCACGACACTGGGAGGTTCTCCGACCCCACTAGAAGGCACCTTCACGCTGTCTTTCTTAACGGAGACTACGGCTCCTATTGCGTATGATGTTAGCGATGTGGCTATGAAGCTCTCACTCCAAGCCCTGCCTTCGATCGGGTTAGTTGACGTCACGCGGACGGACAAACTCGACCCGGGGAACCGGTTCAGCTGGCAGGTGACGTTCCGTTCTAGTCTGGGGAACATCGGGACTCTTGTCGCTGATGATTCTGGGCTCACTGGCAGCTTCTCCGACGTGAGTGTGACTGAGCTTCAGCCCGGTAACAAGCAATCGTTGAGCGGCCAATTCCCTCAACTTGCTGTCTTTAAGAAACAGAGCGGGTTGCCGAGCTATACGGCGAGATACATTCCGTACGGGGCAGCCGACAACTATTCCGTCTCGGTTCAACAGCTTCTCTCTGGTGGGCTGTTCGCGCTGTACTTTGACAATTTCTGGCTGCAAGACGAGCCTGCGATCGTCCGTGTAGACCCTCAACTGAACTTTGACTGGGGCCAAGGCGCTATCTCGAACTACGGACGAGACTACATTAGTATCCGATGGTTTGGTAAACTCTCAGTCCCGACTACTGATACCTATGTGCTCTACGTATCGTCCAGTGAAGGCGTACGTGTGTGGCTGAACCACCAGCTTCGTGTCGATACGTGGGAAGATGGCGAAGACGAAGGAGGAACACTGGAAAACTTCAGCGAGTCTTTAACGGCGGGGACGTTCTACGACCTGCGCGTCGAGTACCACGAAGCTACGGGCGTTGCGTCGTTTAAGTTATCGTGGAGCTCATCGTTTCTCCCCATCGCGCCAATCCCCACCAGTGCTCTGTTTCACGGCGAGCACATCGCTGGGAGCCCCTACCCGATCACCGTCACGCCTGGAGCTACCGATTTTCCGTACACGACAGCGTTTGGGAGCGGTCTCACGATGGCCACAGCGGGAGTGACAGCGCAGTTTATAATCCAAGCTAAGGATCAGAACGACAACAACAAAACCATCGATGGAGATGCGTTTGACGTCGAGATCAAGGGAACGAACACGGGCACGGCGAATGGAGTGCAGCTCGCGCCGTTCGAAGAGCACAAATACATCGGACAAGGTCAATATCTGGTCCGGTACTTGCCGTCGGTCAGCGGAACGTACACTGTTTCGATACAGACAGTGAACGGCATCGATATCTACTGCGGTCTGGGCAAACTTCACAAGTGCAGCCCGTTCGCACTGACGGTTCGACCTGGCCCGGCGACGCCGCATACCAGTCAAGCGCTTGGGAACGCCGCAGCTACAACGTACGGCGTTCTCGACGGTCTCATTGAAGCCGTGGCAGGCCTGGTCTCGAACTTTACGATCCAAGCCCGTGACACGTACGCGAACGCTGCGGACGCCGACGACGTGTTCGAGACCAAGATGGTTCTTCAACTTGATAGAACGGTACAGTACCGCAGCAACGTCCTGGTTGCCGGACAAACGGGTCTATTTGCTGTCGAGTACTCGATTCCTCGTGCCGGGAGGTACGAGATCCAGACGTATCTGAACGGGATCCCAATTCTCATGTGTCCGGGAGGCGTGACATGTTGGGCTTTGAATACACCCGCAATCCTCACGGTTGTACACAGCTTCTTACACGGTCCGAGCTGCACTGTAGATGATACGGCGACGGGTGCTCTGAGTACAGCGACGAGTGGCGGTCAAACCTCCTTCAAAATCTACGCGCGCGACACGTTCGGGAACTTACGGAAAGGTGACCGGACGACGCACTCGCTCACTACGGGCGACGGCAGATCAGATGCCTTCCTGGTCACGTTTACAGGCAAAGATGAAGTGTTTCGTACGTCCACTGCAGTGCAAACGCTTACGAGCGCCGACAAAACAATCGCTGGGTATTTCAAGCTCTCGTTCGGAAAGTTCCGGAAACAGCTTTGTCCTCTTTGTGTCAACGCCCTGGCCGGCGACGTGCTGTCGGTGAGCTCCAACCTGGTCGGGATTCTGCTTCTGGGAACCAAGTTTGTAGTGCAAGAGTGTATTTTCACGGCTGCCAGTCTGGCGTCTACCAGCGTGACTGTAGTCACGAATCACGGGTGCGCAGCCTTCACTTCGCAGAATTTCGCTCTGCAGGTCGCAGCTTCCAGCTCAGTAGCTACCGACGCACTGACGCCGTTAATTCCGCACGACGTAAGTGCTTCAGGTTTGCGCTCCATTCTGCAGGACCTTCACGGCGATGCTAAGGTGGAAGTCTCATTGGATGTCGGAAGCGGATACCAGTGGAAAATCACCTTCCTATCTCATCTGCTAGAGTGGAGTGAGGCTCATCTTGCGGTTGAGTATACGAACGGGTTCGCGTTCAGCCTGTATGCGCATACTCTCGTGGTGGCGTACACGGCAGCATCAGGAGTTTACCCCGTATGGTACACGCCTCACTACGCTGGTTCGTACACTGTGGCCGTCACGACTTGGGACCGAGATACGCACGTGAAAGGCAGCCCGTTCACAGTCCAAGTGGCAGATGGCGCTACCCACGGCCCCAGCACTTTAACAGCTACGGGAGATTGGCGGACGGAGAATTACAGTGTGGCAGCGCAGCAAATGGTAATTAAAGCCGGAAAGCCACTGTCTTTTCAGGTGCAGCTCAAAGATACTCGTCGCCTGGAGCAGCAGGCCATTCGACTTAGAGCGGTAGTGCTGGCACCAGTGCAAGAAGTGCAACGCGTGCTTGTGGATGCGACACCGTTTACATTGAGCTTCCGTGGCTCACCGGCTACCGCTTCATTGACTACAAGCAGTTCGTTCGGTAGTATCAGAGCCGCACTGGAAGCGCTCAGTACGATTTCAAGTGGCGGCGTGACGGTGACGCCTGAAAACCCTGCGGACATGACCGCCGTGGTGACTCACGCGTTTCTAGTCACGTTCACCAAGGCGACAGGTAGCTTGCCGCTTCTGGTGAGTCCGAATTCTGGCGCGACCGTGACGCCTTTAGTGAGAGGAGCAGTCTCCGTGCGTCAGGAAATGCAGATCTTAACGTGCACGTCAGCCGTGGCCGTGGCGCTGGCCGGGTCCTTCTCCGTGTCGTTTCAAGGACGAACACCCGTGGACGCAGCTGCATCCGATACACTGGCCACGTTTTCAAGTACACTTACGACTCTAGTGGGGTCCTCCGTGTCGGTTGTCGCAGAAGGCGGCCTCCAAGCGACAGTGTGTGCTCTAACCACGTCCGCCCGGTTATTAATAACGTTTAACCAGGTGCTCGGAGATGTGGCGCCGCTTGTGTACACGAAGCCTGCTGGATCTCAACTCACAGTCGTCGGCGAAGACAATACCGACAACACAATAAGCGGCATTTACCCGGCGTGGGGGAGCTTCACACTTGCACTACCAGGGCGTGCCGAGACGACCGTGAGCATCCCGTTCTGCGCGTCGACAACTGTCATGAAGAACGCGCTGGAGTCTCTCTCTCTCGTGGATCAGGTGACGGTTACCCGCGACTGGTTTGACATCACCACCGAGACGGCGACGGCGAAGCTGGCCACTCTGGTGCAGTGGACGGTGAAGTTTGACAGCCACGCCGGTAATATGCCGGAGCTGGTTGCTGACTACTCAGGTATATCCGTGCATGACGACGGTCAGCGCAAGCCGTTTGTCGAGACGCTGGAGCTCGTACGAGGGTCGGTAGGTAACAACCGCTCGGTTACGACGAGCGACACAAAAGTGACGATGACGACGACGCTGGAGAATCCTGGAGTGCAGGAAGTGCAGAAGCTTTTGTGTCGTGGTAGTCAAAAGTTTACTCTCACGTACGGAGGACTGAGCAAGGAGATTACACCCGATGCGTCCCTCGAGGAGCTTGAGAAACAACTGAACGCCATTCCCGCTGGTGTGCAGCTGTACGCGACGTCAGACGGCGTACGGAAATCTGCGGCGGAGCTGTCGACGGCTTCGATGTTCTTCCCCGTGTGCAGCGTAGCCAACCCGCGTAGGATCGAGATTGTGTTCAAGACGCCAACGGATGTACCTTTGATCGCTTGGAGCTTGACTGGCAACGACATGTACATCACAGAGGCAGTAAAGGGCGTCGTGCCGAGCGAGACTGCGATCAAGATCTCGAATCTTGAGGTTCAAAAGCTGCAGTGTCAAGTCACGGCTGCGGCGGCAGCGACGGCCTCGTTTGACCTTTTGTACGCTGGAGAACGGATCACAGTGGGGGCAAATGCGGTTCCTAGTGCACTGCAAACGCAGCTCAACGACATGAAGAGCATCCTTCAGGTGGGCGGTGTGGATGTCACGAGCACGTCACCCCAAGTTTGCACCGACCCGGCGAGCTCTGTGGACATCACGTTCCGGAAAGTGGGCGACCAGCTCTCGTTTGTGCTCGCTCAAATACGCGACGGGATTCTGTTGGCTCAAGTGACGGAGACGACGAAAGGACTGGACTCGCTCGTGTACGATGGATCGCACCAGGGGCTATTCAACGTGACAGCCACGCCGGTTGTCAGCGGAACGTACGCGATGGGAGTGACAGTGCTGAGCTTGTCTACAAACTTCTGTCCTCTTTCATTTCAGGTGCGACCGACGCTGGCGAGTGGAGGGACCAGTACACACACGGCACCAGCAGTGGTTACACAGGGTGTTACGGAGTGGTTTACACTGCAAGCCGTTGACAGATTCAACAACCTTCTCGAGTCAAGCACCGAGTTGGGCACAGACGCTTTTGTTGCAAAGCTGTTGCCGCCTTCGGTGGCATCGACACCAGCAGAATCGTACCCCGTCTCGATCACAGAGTCGAACCCGAACACGAACGGCATTTTCTCACTCACTTTTCTTCCTCAGCGGGCTGGAACGTACACGCTGTCACTCGTTCGACGCCAGGCTGGCGGTCTCTGGGCGACGTATTACGCGACGGCCTTTTTTACAGACAGCTACTTGAGTCGTCAAGACGCGGCGGTGTCGTTCCAGTGGGGAGAAACGTCTCCGTTAGGGGACCCGTTTCCAAACCGAAATTACTCGATTCGATGGAGGGGCGAGCTGCGCGCTGTGGTGTCTGGCCTGCACGTCTTTACGCTACGCGCCGACAACGCTGTGAAGCTCGTTGTAGATGGGTTGGTGCTGCTGGATCTGTTCGCCACTCCGGCTGTGTCGTCTGCAATTAACAAGTTCGATTCGTTACCGATCGAGTTGAAGGAAGGCAGATACTACAGTGTGGAGATCAGCTATCGCACGAAAGACGCCCAGTCGTTCGTGAAACTTGAATGGAGCTGTCAAATGGCTGGTCTAACGCGCACGGCGGTGCCGTCGGCATCACTGTTCACCTCAACTGAGTTAGTCAACACGCCGTTCAGTATCGTGGCGTACCCGGGCATGATCAACTCGACACAAGTGCGAAACTCGTTCGACGGGTTTACGACTGCGAATGTAAGCGGCGGCCCCATCGTTACAAATGCACTGGATCCGATCACGTTCGTGCTGGAGGCCCACGATTCGTTCGGGAACCGTCGATTCCACAGCGGTAGTGACGCCTTCGAAGTGTCGATGGTTGGCGTCGACGGTTGGGCGAGCGCGGGAAGGATCAATGACGTGACTACCAAGTCTGCTGTGCAGTATGATCCGACGTTCATCTGCAAAGCTTGCGCCGTCAGCTTCGTGATCAACACACGCACATTGACACTGAACGTCGACGTGGCGAGTCAACTGGAGGCTGGGGTGCGATTCCGCGTGATCAACGCAAACAGCGGCACATCTGCGCGTCGTCGGGACTGCTTTTTCACCACTGAGAGCGTATCTGGACCTTTCGCCGTTAGCGCCGTCGCAGTCGTTGTCGTGTCTGCGAATGGCTGTGCGGCCTTTAGCAGCTCGTCCTTCGACGTATCTGCTATCGCACCAACAGACTGGAACTACCTCGGCACCTGTTCAGTTGCTTCTGGCTCAGCTTCGCTCACGGCTTGCACCTCAGTCTTTGGACTGAAGCGCGGGGATCAACTTACGGTCGGACGGGAGGCCAACAGCGTGCACTACACGGCAGGCGTACTGAGTACCGTGGCTGTCCCGCTTGAGCAACCTTATCGAGGTGCTTCGAGTGGTTTTGTCCCTGTCTTCAAGGCCGGCGACACTACTGGACGCCACACGGTATCGATGGTGCCGTACATTAAAGGAGTGTACAGGCTGAGCGTACGTCTACCAGCTATTGATGCAGTGCACGCCGTGATAACCCAAGCTGATTCGGCACTGGGTGGCTCCTTCTACCTCTCGGTGGCTGGCAAGACGACGGGTTCCTTGAGCTTTGCCGCATTGGACACGGACGTGAAGACCGCGCTTGAGGCGCTTTCTACTGTCGGAGTTGGCAACGTCGCGACTTCGGTGTCGTGTACGAATGAGGATGCCACGAAGGGCTGTCGATGGCTTGTGACGTTCAGGCACCTCACAGAAGCTGTGAGTACGAGTCTCGGGGCGTCGTACAATGGTGTTTTGACCGGCAACAACGCCGCCGTCGATATTCAAACGCTGACACAGCCGAGGTCAGCACAGATGGTAAACGGCTTTCCGAAGAACGTACGCGTCAATCCTGGAGTGATGAATCCAACAGTAAGTACTGCGTACGGCTCTGGACTGTACGCGAGTACGTCAGGAGTGTTGTCCTCGTTCTTCGTCCAGATGAAGGACACACACGGCAACAACCTGGAGAGCGACACCAATTACCTACAGGTGCAGGTGTTCCCAGCCGGAACGACGTATCTGTCGTCTCAGGTGGCCGAGGTCTCGTCCGTCGCTTACGTTTCTGAAGGACTGTACAAGGTTTCGTACATGCCCGTGCTCTCGGGTCGCCACACCGTGGTGGTCACCGCTCAAATGTCTCCGGAGGTTCATAAGGTGTCGTCAGCGTTTGCACTACCAGGCACGAGCCGTGGCGGAACATTTGTGCTGCGTTTGTTCAGTCAGACTACAGCACCGCTAGTGTTCGAAGCCAACGCGACGGACGTCCAGCAGGCGCTGCTAAACCTGCCAGTGTTTGCAGTACATACCATGAATGCGACGACGGCGATCACAGTGACGCGAGCGGTTAACAACCAGAACGGGTTCGACTACCTGATCACGTACACGCGGCTTCCACCAGATCTGGAGCTGAGTATCGTCCAGACAGTCAACAATCTCTACAGCGGCGATGGCGGCAGTGGCGCGACGTTGACGGCATCATTACAGACCCCGCAGTCTCGCGAGCACGTGAAGACGTCAATCTCGCTTGGAGAACCGATCGTGAACGAGCAGCAGATCGTGACCGTGACGTCGACTGCTGCACTCACAGGAGGCTCGTTCCAGCTGAAGTTCGGCGCTCACACAACAGATTTGATACCTTACAATGCCCCAGCCACCACACTGGAAGACCTGTTGAACAAGTTGCCTTCGATCGGGACCAATGGCGTAAGTGTGAGTCTGACGACCAGCTTGGCTACAGCTCGAGCATGGACTGTCACGTTCCTGGCCGCGACGGCCGGTACGCCCCAGACGGCGTTTTGGAACTCAGCGCTGTACACGCCAAACCGGATCGTGCGTCACGCGAGACTCGTAGGTGACATTCCAGTGCTGACGCCTACTTCGACGAATACGCTTGTTGCTGGCGTGAACCCTGACGGTCAAGTGGCTGTGACGACGTCTGTGACTGGTGTGAGTCCGTTCACCACGATAGTCGCGCACGGCGCTCTCGTTCCGACTCAGTGCACAGCGGTAGATGGGAGCACTCCGTTTAAACCTGGTTCAGTTAACGCAGTAGGGCAGAACGGTCTGCACTCGGGCAGATTCCACTCACGCTCAAGCTTCGTCATTGAGGCACGAGACACCAATGGGAATCTACTGGACGGTACGGGAGGTGGCTTTACAGGAGCTCCTGTTCAGGAACTTCAAGTCGTCGAGACGTTTAGCTCTGCTGGACCAGGAAACAAACTAACGGGCTCCTTTGCGCTGGTCCTGGATGGACAGAAGACGGCAGCGTTACCGGCAAATACTGGACTTCAGGAAGTTGAGGCGGCGTTAGAAGCTCTCAAATCTCTAAGCGGGTTTGTTACGGTGGACACACCTGACGTGCAGACGTGGGTGGCAACCGGCACCGTAATTGTGACGAAAACCTCAAATGTCCTGACGACGTCGGCGAGTTTCTTGACTGTCCCGGACTTTGGGGTGGGGGATTGGATCCGTGTCGGTTTTCTAAACGGTCCGGTCTTCTCTATCATTACGATTACTGCTACGACCATAACGCTGTCGGGTATCTATCAAGGAGTGTCAGATAACGCGGCATCCGTCTACAAGCTAAGCGATCCCGGCGCTGGATTCACGTACAGAGTCAAGTTTGCTGCCGAGTTGGGCGACTTGCCGGCGCTTGCAGTCGACACGACGAAGCTAGGTGGAGGAACAGGCACAGGGAAAGCCAAAGTCACAGCGTGCGATTATCTGCGAACGCAGCAGCTTCAGACCACAGCGGCGTCGCAGATCAGCGGCGAATTTTCGCTTTCGTTTCGTGGTTCCACGACGCCTTTGCTTCCATGGAATGTGGACGCCAGTACATTACGTAGTGCGCTTGAGACTCTGGATGGCATTCATGCTGCAGCAGTATCCACTCCAGTTACAGGAACAAACGGAGGATTCACATGGCAAATCACACTCGTGTCCACCGAGCCACAAGGCGATAACGACCTCGAGCTGCTGTATGCTGAAGGATATCTGCTCCTAGGTAAACAGGCTCGAATCCAAGTGACGCCCGTGTGTCCTTCGACGAAGACGAGAGAAAACATGAACATTCAGTCCGTTAGTGGCAGTGAAGGCCACGCGTTCGTGCCCGTACTGCGGGGTGCGTCGACTGTCGTGGCAGACGTGAGTTATCTAGGCGGTGCCGCGTACCAGGCCGTGTACGACACCCCTCGTGAAGCTACATACTCGCTCGACGTGCGCTATGTGTCGCCTCGAGGCTTGATGGGCAGCTACTTTGACAATCGCTGGCTGTACGGCACGCCGACGTTCGAACGGGTGGATCCTCTGATCGATTTCATGTGGAAGGAAGACCGGATCACACCGACAAGTCGAGAACATGTTAGTGTGCGATGGCAAGGCTACATCAAACCCTCGTTCAGTGAGGACTACGTCTTCTTCGTGCTGGTGAACGACGGTGCGCGGCTCTGGATCGAGAATCAGCTGGTCATTGACCAGTACGACTTCGACGTCGACGCGTCCACGGCTGTAGAATTCCAGGCGAACGCATCGGTGGCATTGATCAAGGACCGGCTTACGGGGATCACGCTGGAGTATCGAGAAAATTCAGGTGTTGCATCCGTCTCGCTCTTATGGCAGTCGCATACTCAACCGAAGCGGATTGTGCCTAGCGCGCGCCTGTTTCATCGGTCGGACGCCATTATGAAGAGCCCGTTTAGTGTCAAGACGCAGGGCTCAAAGCCTTCTCCCCCGTTAAACATCAGCTTGACAATCAGTGCTGCTGACGCACTAACGGTTCACTTTAGCGCGCCGGACGACGACGGCGGCGCGCCGGTGACGGGATATCAAGTCGAGTGGTGGACGTACGCGGCGTACGGGTCAAACGAGGTGCAAGTCTTGAAGATTGCCACTAGCAACACTGGAGGAACATTCACTCTAACTCTTGATAACGGCCAAACAACCGGCCCCCTTCCAGCCTCAGCTTTATATTCCGACGTGGAAGTAGCGCTCGAGGCTTTGGATGGCGCAGGAGACGTGACTGTGATACCCGCGCCCTCAGCAAACTCAAGAGACTACACCATCACGTTCAATTCTCGCGTCGGATCTGTGCCAGACATACAAGTGGATGTCACACAGCTCACTGGTAGCAAAGCGTATATGGTGTGTTCAAAAGGAGCTACGCAGGCCTTAGCGAACGGCATGCAGTGTATTGCATCGGAAAGTATCACCAGTACTGTACATCTACTGAGCAACCCGGTCACGTTTACGCCTCCGGACGTCCCAAAGCGTGGAGATCCATACACGTTCGTGATCTCAGGTCTTACGCAACCTGCAGCTTCTGTTGAACCGAAAGCGCCTGGGGAAGTGGGCGGCACAAATGGTCCAGGCTTCTCCGTTCGCGTGCTAGCCAAGAACTCGGCAGGCAACGGTCTTCCTAGCGCGACGGCGTCTATGAAGCCGATGGCGGCCCCCGCTGCTCCAACGAATGTCGAGTCGCGCCTTGTAGCAGGTTCATCCACTAGCCTTCGACTGTGGTGGGACGCACCCACGGCAAACAACGGCGCGATCGTCACGTTCTACGTGGTGGAGTGGTGTCTTGATCTCCCAGGCCGTTTGAGCTCTGATCCTTTCAGTAGCTTCCGCGAAAAGCCGGGATTCTTCCTAGCAGCTCACCCGACTTCGTTGCGGTTTAAATACACCGTCGACAACCTGGTTCCGGGCGCTGCGTATGTCATACAAGTCCGTGCAGAGAACGTCATGGGCGTCGGTCCAATTGGGCAAACGGTGCCTTCTTTCGAAGTGCCGCGAAGTAAAGCCGCGCCGCTGCTTGATGGAACGGGTGGTGGCGTCGCCTTGAGTGTAAGGCCGGCGTCTTCTTCTATCCCAACGGCGGCGTCGTGTACAAGTTTACTGCTCTCGTGGCTTCCCGTGACAGCTGCGGACGCCCATGGCGCTGCTGTTAGGAGCTACATCGTTGACTGGTACCAGCCACAGAGTGTCGATACATCTCCGTTCGAGGTTCAGATCCTCCAGATCTTCGGTAAGGATGCAGCAGATGTGGTCACAGGCACGTTCCGCGTCCAATACAGTGGCACGTACACAGAGCCACTTCCTGTCGATGTAAGTGAGTATGAACTGGAGGAAAGTCTGGAAGCGCTGCCTGCTTTACGCAGTGTGGAGGTGGAGCGAACGCCTTTCACGTCTCGTGGAGGATACCAGTGGGCAGTGACGTTCCTGTCGGAGGCTCCAGCAGTACTAGGCAAAGTGCTTTCTATCGACACAACTAAGTTGACGGCGACGATCCTCACCACGAACGTGGGGGCCCAACTCGCTGCCCCTGTCGGTAGCAGCAGCATCACTGTAGCAGCAATACAGGGCTCAAATCAAGTCACAAGTACGGACACGGCAGCGACCGGCGCCTTAGCGGACATGTACATCTCGACATCGCAAGGACTGTGGCGAGTGACGGCCGTGTCGGTGGTCACGGGGACAGCGACGTTGACGTTATCAGGGAGTTTTTACGGAGCGAACGGGAACTACCCAGCTCAACTGGGGTGGACAGTACCTGGCGCTCTGCCTGCGGACTATCACTCCAAGACTATACCAGCTTCAAACGCAACAGATACATACTCTCTCGTACTCGACACGTTACCCCCTGGAACGCCGTATTCCGCTCGAGTAAGTGCGTGTAACTCGCTCGGGTGCAATGCTCCGACCATGGCGTCGCCCTTGACTTTAGCTGCACCGAAGCAGAAACCGGCAACTCCTCTTGACGTCGCGCTCTTTGCTGACAGTGGATCCACTTTACGCGTACGCTGGCGACACCCACCTAGCGACGGTGGCAATGTGATCACGCATTACCGTATCGAATGGGACCCGAAGCGGACATTTGACTCGGGAGCTGATACGAATGGAGAAAGCTCGAAAGGAAGCTCGTTCGGCTATGAACGGGAAGCTGTGGTGAATCCTGGAGTTGGCTGTCTATTGACTCCGTGTGAGGCTGTCATCGGGTCACTCGAGCGAGGCGCACCCTACTACGTGCGCGTGTACGCCTACAACTCGTTTGGGTATTCGATCGACGCTGGATACCCCGTTGTGCCAGGATTTGGAGTACCAAAGACGCTTCCAGAAGCCCCTGTCGACATCCTCCTGACACCTATGCAATCCTCACCAGATCAAGGCCTAACTGTGTCTTTTAACACGTCAAGCGACAGCTTTGACGACGGTGGGGACGACGTCACACAGTACCAGATCGAGTGGGATGCTATGGATCTAGATGCACTGATCCCGGACATCGTGACTGCTATCTCCAGTGCGAAGACAGCGGCGACCATCTCGACCGGCTTGATCAACCGAGTGTTTTTCGCAGAACACACGACGCAGCTGTTGCTGCTCTCAGCGACGGCGTACGACGTGCGTGGCTCCTTCCGGTTGGCATTTCAGGGTGCCGTGACGGTGGGTTTGCCGTGGGATATCACTTCGGATGCTCTTGCTGCTGCGCTCGAGACTCTTCCAACTGTGGGCCGCGTCAACATTCGACGCGTTGCTGCTGGATTTGGCTTTGCTTGGTTCGTGACGTTCTTGACCACGCCATTCCGAGCAGATACGTCGACGGGCGACGTGTATGGGGACATCCCACTACTGAAGGTGTCGACGGACAGCACGCAGCTCCTTTCGGATTTCAGTACGTCTCAGGCGGCGACCAGTACGCTAACCGGCACTGGAGCTAAGCTAGCGACAGCGACACTTATACGCGCGTTCAACGGCTTCGAACAGCAGATGGTCAAGATCTCTACGAGTGCTGGAGCGCTGGGCGGATTCTTCAGTTTGAGCTACAACCAGCAGCAGACAGCGTCAATGCCAGCGAATGCCAGTGCGATAGCTGTGAAGCAAGCGCTGACGCAGATCACAGACCCCAACGAACTGGTTGGAGACGTCGACGTGTACAAACGTCAGAGTGCGACACCCACGGGTTTCGTCTACACGATCGTGTACAAGTCACGCCTAGGACCGAACCGTCCGCTTGTCGGTTGCATTGATAAAGACCTTACCAGCTCGGTAACGACGGCAACCAAGTCGTGCGATACGACGCGTACACAGCTCGGCGGACTTCCAGCGATGAACAGTGATCTTTACGGCGTCGCAATAGTGAACAAGACCGACTTAAGTGTACGCGACGATGGAATGGCGCATTACGACGTACAGGGACTGCGTCGTGGCGTTGGATACCACGTCCGTGTGTCGGCGTGGAACGGCGTAGGCAACGTATTTGGTTCGACGCGTGCATCAACACCCGCTCGGTTCATAGTACAAAGCGTCCCAGACGCTCCACGAGACGTTAGTGTTGAGCCACGGTCGCCTACCAAGCTACTGGTATCGTGGACAAAACCACTCAATACAGGAGGGACTACTGCGTCCAACTACACAGTGCAGATCGCAGCTCGACGGGGTGTCGCCGAGCAGCAACTGATCAAGGCAGACAGCTCTCTGGGCGACTTATCACAGCGGCGTCTAGTACTACAACTTCGTGTTGGTGACGTGTCTGGATCGACAACTGTGCTCGGGAACGTATCGAGCGACGGTCTGCGCTCTGCGCTTGCCAATGCATTGAACGTCCCAGGTGCGATTGCCCATGTGAGTCGCAACAGTGTCGGCATCTTTTCTGGTTACGGCTACGAGTGGGTCGTCACGTTCAGTGACTCGATCGGAGATGTGTCGCTCATTGAGGTCACGGAAGCCAGCTACGAGAGCTCGGAGACGTCACCCGACTACTTGTCGGCGTTAGCTCTGAGTGTCACAGAACTGGTGAAGGGCAGTGTCGACGGTAGCAGTATGAACGGAGCTGCCGTCACTACGGTGGTCGTGACGCCGCAGCACGAAGTCCAGCGAGTTTTCATCTACAGCGGATCTCCAGTGGACTTAGGTGGAACCGTGATGTTGAGCGTTGGAGGAGAATCGACTGCTGCGTTGGCTGTGGACACCACGTCGGAAGACGTCCGTGTCGCGTTGGAGGGATTGTCGACGGTGGGCCAAGTGTCTGTGACGGTGACAGGTGAAGTCACTCAGCGCGCATCATTCCCAGCAGTAAGGTACGGCGTTTACTGGGATGTGACGTTCAGTAGCACAACGGATGACCTGCCGTTGCTGGGCGTACGAACGGACACGACTCTGCCGTTTACCCCAAGCGCTTGTGGTGGGACACTGTCCGGTGTGACGCCATGTGTGGAAGCCCTCACGCTTAAACAAGGCGGGTTACCCACTCAGACATCATTGAGCCAGTTAACGAACACCTCGAACTACGTCGTGCGTCTGACGGCGTCCAACGAACAGTTCACGAGTAAGTTCGTGACTGTCCCTGGTGCGCTCCAGCCAGTAGCGAGACCGCCATTGGAAGTACAAAACGCTCAAGTCGCTTCTGTAGCGGTAGATACGCTTGATGTAATGTGGCAAGCCCCCTTGGGCGACGGAGGTGCTCGTGTGGTGCACTACAAGGTTCAGTGGGATGTCAGTGCGAACTTCGACCTGCAGAGCATTTTTTCAGGCTCGGACATTGTTCTGGTTAAAGAAAGCGACGACGAAATGTTCGACTATAGGATCACTGGGCTGAGTTCAAGTAAGGACTATTTTGTCTCGGTGGTCGCCTACAACGCACGCGGTCACGGCGTCCCGGTGACAGCACTGCCGGTGGACGCTCATGAGCGCGTGACTCATCTTACAGTTTCGGGGGCGACACTGGACGAGGTAGCGCTTGCAACCGAGACGATGACGCTGTCCTTCGCTAACTATCCTTCCAAGACAGCAACAGTTGGAGTTGCGTCTAGTGCGTTAGAGCTACAGAGTGCTTTGCAGCGTCTTTCGGTCGTAGGGGTCCTGTCAGTCAAGCGCTCGGACTACTCCAAGGGACCAGCAGCTACGCCTTACGATACCAGTGGAGTGGATACGCCCAGCAATCTGTTGATGACCTGGAGTATCACGTTCCTTACCGCTTCGGTCGATGGAGTACGCGCCAGTGCGCTTGGAGCTCTTACCGTGGCACATACGGGGCCAACTATAGTCGCTCCCATGGAAGTGGTATCTCCAATCGAGGACGGCTCACTAACCATCAGACCTCGAGCGGTGGCTGCCACAGGACCGCGAGACGTACGCGTTTCCATTGTAGACGCTGCCTCGCTTGGCGTAAGCTGGCTTCCGTCACTGTCGCCTTTATCTTCCAAATATCTCGTGGAATGGAGCACGACGCCGGACTTCGCCGCGTGTCGCGCAGGGTCCATCAGTAGCAGCGGCACCAGAACCAACTACGCCACCGCCGCAGCCAACTCTCAAGTGATTAATGCGCTCCCCATAGGAGCTGACGGCCGCGTCTCATACACCATTATCAGCCTACCAGCCAAAACGAAGCAATACGTACGCGTGTCGGCTTACAACGGTAACTACGGTTCCCCGGCTCTTGCTCAAGTCCTGTCCGTGAGCACGCCTAATACTGCCGAAGACGCCGCGGTTGTCACCGTATTACCAGGAGTCAAAAGCTTAATGCCGCGTGCTGTGACTCCGTTCCGTCCGACGTCTGTGACGATGCAAGTGAGTTCCCAGGACCAACCGACACAGATCGAAGTCAGCTTTGTCCCGCCCACGAAAGACGCTTTGGACTTCACAGCTGGGAATGGAGGCGCGACAATCACGCACTATCGTTTGAGCTGGTGGGACCCGGCTGCGTTGACGACAAACGCTAAAGCGGTGATGTCCTACGATGCACGAATGGTGGACCCGACAGGCGCTGCGCTGACGTGTTATCTAGGCCCGTGTTTGTTTCGATTGGGGGCTGAAGTGCAGTCGTTGTCGTTGACGCCAGGAACGGGTTCGTTCCGTCTCGTGTCGTCGTCGTCCTCCTTTACGACTTCGATATGCACGAGCTGCTTGCTGTCATTTACAGCACCGGTTGGTGGAGTCATCACTATGGATTATACAGGAACGACGCCAGATTTACAGACTGTACTGGGTACCAACGCGCGCTTCATGGTCGTTAAACCGGGTGCTTCGTGCGTCTTCGAAGTGGCGGCGCTGAACACGCTTCCAGCCAACAAGTTACCGATCCGATTCGTGTCTTCTGCGGGTGGCTCGGCGACCTGTCCTCTGCCTTTAACGCAAGGGACGTACACAATTTCCGTGGAGCCTACGACGGCGTGCATCCTCGCGTCTACGAGTGCTGCGGATCTGGCGACTGCAATCTCCGGTTTGGTTGGCAGTGACGGTGTCGACGTCTCTCTTGACATCGAGACAGGTAACATTCGGCACTTCCGGGTCACTTTTACGGGTTCGAGTGCGACTGGAGCCTCTGGCAGCTCTCCAGCTCACACGGCTGACGTTGCGCAACTGGAAGCCGTGGCGACGGACGCCACGGGTGGCTGCATTGATGTTTCAGGGAATGTTTGGACGGGTACAGAGCTGAATGGCGGCTTGTTGGAACCCGGCGTAACTTACGCGGTGCAGGTTGCGGCTCTCAACTCGGTCGGGCTTGGAGCGCCTCTGCGTGCGAAGGCCTTTTGCCATGATCTCCCGTGCGTTGCCGGCGACGCAGTTCTAGCGCCTGCCGCGCCGCCTCTGGCACCAGTTTCCGTCACGGTGGCCAGCAACCGTGCCGATCGAACAGCATTGAACATCGCGTGGAAGCCTCCACCGTCGAACAACGGTGCTCCCATCACGCAGTATCTCGTCGAGTACTCGACTGCAGCTTTTGCCGTGCAGCCGTTGCTGTGCTCCGGTTGCGTGACAGCGCTCACAGCCGGAACAGCCTCTTCAACGCCGACGCTCACGCTCAATTTTAACGCTGGCTTGGCCAGTGGACAGATCGTGGTGCTAAGTAGTGTATCTCCTGTATGCACACTTACTGTGAGCAAGGACGCAGCAACGTTCACCAAGACAGCGTGGACTGGATCCCTAGTCGTCTATAATCTGGAGCGGCAGCACGGCTGCGACACATTCACAGGTCAAGCCGTCAACCTGAAGGCTCTGTATGACTCGACGACAGACAACTCGGTCGTGGTCCTGCCTGGCGCCGAAGACCAGCACTCAACGATCCTCAAGCCGCTCGTACCAAACAAGCAGTACACGGTTCGTGTCCGGGCGCAGAACCGTGAAGGATACGGCGTGACTCAAATCGCTACGTTCATATGTGAACCAGGTATCGAATCTTGTGCCGCAGCGGGGACACTTGCAACCACGCGACAACTACCTGCGCCGCCGACGTTAACAGTGCCGTTCCAGCTGCTGGGAGCCGGTGTGGTTGGCGCGACGTCGAATGTCCTGGGCTTCACGAAGAACTCATTGATGATCGCGTTTACCGACCCCAGTAGCTGGTCGGAACTGGAGATTGTCGACTCGTTCCGCGTGGAATGGGACTCAAGTGCAGACTTTCTGTCGGCCAACAAGAAGACGCAGGTCGTGACTCCATCGGCCTCGAAAGCTCCGTCGCGTTGGATGACTCGTCAACTCTGTGCGAACTGCATCACGGATTTGGTCACTGCTACAAACACACTGTCGATAAGCGGAGGTGTTGGACTCACGTTTGGGCTGGCAAAAGACGACTGGATACTGGTAGGTGCTGGGTCGATCACGTGCAGCCTCCAAGTAGCAGCAACGGCACCAACGGCGTCTGCGATCTCAGTCGTCGGAGGACATGGATGTGGAGACTTTACAGGAAAGACGCTCGCTCTCGACGCACAGGAAACATACGACTACAAGCTATCAACAGGCCTCGCGATGGGGGTTACTACGCACATCCGCGTGACGGCACACAACTCGCTGGGCTACGGCCCTCCATGTGATAGTATTGCTATAGCTCCAATCACTTCCAGTGACCCTCCGCCGTATCCATACATTATTCTTTCTTCGTTAACGCCTATGGACGAAGACGACCCGGATGTGCGCGTGAGTTCGCTGCGTGTGTCGTTTCCACCGCCAACGATCTCCCAAGCGGATCCCAACGGTGGCGGCGGATCCCCTGTGACGAAGTATCTGGTGGAGTGGATTAACACAAAGGAGTTCGCGAACACCATTCCTCAAGTCCAAACGATCAGCATGGCGTCAGATTCCACTGGCAGCGTGGCCGGCTCGTTTGTGCTTACACTGGACACGACCACGTGCACGTACTGTCACATCCAAGGCGTCTTCAGTACGTCAGCACTAAGCGCGTCCGCATTAGAAGAAGAAATGGCACTGGAACTCGAGAACCTACCCAACGTCGGTGACGTGGACGTGACGCGCGACGGCTGCGTGACCAAGAATCAGTGTACGTGGAGGATCACATTCCTTAGCGAGATGGACGTCGTTCCGGCGCTGACGTACACAAGTCGACTGTACGCTGCCGGCGGGAAAGTAACGCTTACCGTAGCTGGAGGGACCCAGGTTGGCAGCCTGAACGGAGTGACGTACTGTCCTTCGACAGTCAATAATGTGCTGGTGAGTGGGCGAGCTAACTGTGGCGTGGTTGTCGTGGATGCTAAGACGACGCCAGTTCCGTACGAGTACATCATCAATGGCCTTACTCCTGGAAACACGTACTACGCTCGAGTAGCGGCATACAACGCGCTGGGTTACGGACCGAGACGGGTTACGGCACCTCGCTCGCTGAGTGTGCCATTCGAGCCGCCGTCGGCTCCTAGATCGCCGTTCAACATGCTAGCGCCGCCTATTCTGACGCTTGCTGGACCTACGTCGCTGATGGTCAGCTACGCTGCTCCCAAATTCACTGGAGGAGCGCCCGTCACTGGCTACGTGATTGAATGGGACACGTCTTCGGAGTTTGACAGTGGATTCAACGGTGACGCACTTGTTCAAGTGACGATAGCAACAAGTACGCTAGTAGCCGACGCAGATGGAGCTTACCGATTCACTATTCGCGGACTAACAACCCGACAGTGGACGTACGTACGCATCTTCGCAGAGAACGGAAAGGTTGGAGCGGGTGTGCCAGTGCTGACTCAACCACCACGAGAGATGCCACGAGGAAAGCCAAGCGCTCTCAGCTTAGTGACTGCTGTAAATGACCTGTCTGCTCAGTCTCCAGGGACGGCGTTGATGGTTTCGTGGCCCGAAGGATCAGCAGATGTCCTGCAGTACCAGGTTGAACGGTATCAGCAGGCCGCAACAGAACCGTTGTTCGGTGCGCCTGTGGTCCAGCTAGTTAAGTCGACAGGAACGATAACTGGAGGGAACTTTGCGTTGTCGTTCGGAGACGGCAGTGATCTATATCCGTGGCGTCTTTTGCCGGGAACTGTGGACGCAGAGCACGGCGCTTCGTTTTTGAAGACGAGTGAAGATCTAACCGGATTGATCGCCGTGGGTGACGCGGTGTTTATCAACAAGCAGGCGTACCTGGTATCGGCGACAGGGACGTTCACGGCTTCTCAAGTACCTCTGGCTGACGCGACGGGATACCAAGCAGCTGGTACGCTAGCCGCAGATTTGGGTACGACAGCAACTACGTACGCTGGAGACACGGTGCTTGGCGCGAAATTGTACACGCAGTGGCGCACGACGCCGTTGTCGATGGACGTGACTCCTGCAGACATGCAAGAGGCGCTAGAGCTGTTGCCAAGTGTCGGATTAGTGCGCGTGGAGCGTCTGTCTGTCGGTGCAAACAAGTTCGAGTGGATGGTGACCTTCACGTCGCAGGTGCCACGGACGAGTCCGACGTTCCCACTACTCACAGCGAACGATCGGCTCTTAAACCCGAACGGAGTTGGAGCCAATGCAAACGTTGTAGTGACGAGCATCGCTGTAGGACAGGCCCCGCAGGCTTTCGGTTCGGCTGTCGTAAGTGCGACCGGCGCGTCTGGCGATGGCCTTGTCAAGTACAGCATCGCTCAGCTTGCTATGGGGACGATCTACTTTGTGCGCGTGGCTGCAGTAAACGAGCGTGGAGTGGGCGCCTTTACTTTGGCTTCGGCTACTGGTGTAGCGCCCACGAGAGCCCCGCTTGCGCTGAAAAACGTGGCAGTTCGTTCTTTATCCAATCAACTATTGAAGATCTCATTCGACCAGGTACGTTCGTCTGGGGGGCGTGCTGTGGACGGCTTTCGCGTCGAAGCAGCATTGAACTCCAAGTTCGCGGATACTAGTGTTGTGCACGACATGCCACCGACTACCAAATACGCACGAGTCACAACAGCCGCCCACACTGGTCCGTTCCTCACCGGCAGTACATTTTCGTTAGCTGCAGTGGATGCGCGGTCTTTCCACGGCCGGATGATCAAGCAAGTGGACGCGTTGGCCTCTGCACAGGCGTTGGCGGGTGGTTCTTCCTTCCTACTGCGTCTCAAACCGGACAGCACACTGGGCTACGGCGCTGCTTCCCTGCACGACTCCTTTTCCCGAGGAGAACGAGTACGCATTCGCAACGAAGAGGCGAGTGTCTGTCTCGACGGCAGTGTGGCGTGGCAGCTTCGAACCACCGACACCGGTCTCACTGTTGCCGGGTACAGTGGATCAACCATCACGCTCTCAGCAACTTTAAGTACGGACCTTCAGGCAGTGATCGTTGTGGGTACGCAGGTAGCTGTCGGCGCGGCTGCAAAGGGCCCAGCAGACCCAGCAGCCTGCCAAGCTGTAGTGACGGCGGTAAACACTGACAAGCTACACGTCGATATTAAACACTCTTGTGTCGACCCGGGCACGAAACTAGCGAACGGGCTGTCGATCTTCGTGGTAATAGGCGTCGCGCCGATCACCAGCTCTTCATACGACAATGTTGATACAATCACGCTGTCGGCCGCACTGGACAACCGTCTTGTGGATATCGTAGTGGTTGATACCCGGATATCTATTGGCTCAACTCCAGAAGCTGCTGCGACGTGCCGTGCCAGAGTGACGGCTGTTACCGGTACGACGTTGAAACTTGACCATAACTGTGTCGAAGCCGCCGCAAAACTGGGCACCGGAAACCCCAATATCTACGTGCATCGCGGGCCGGCGCTGCTGCCTTTATGCGAGCGAGATGATCCGTGGAAAGTACTGGACTCATCGAGTATTTCGTCGCTAGTGTCCAGACTCGATGCGTCAGGAGGACGCGAGCCGTTGCCAGTTTTCCGGAGCGACTCGGCTGTGAGTACAGCGACTGAACTCGGCACGATCGGAAGTAGCGCAGAGGTGACGTTGGTGGACGAGATGAAGATCAATTGCGGTGACTACATTAGGCTAGGAAGAGCGTCAACTGATAGACTAGAAGCCGAGAATCTGGAAGCGCTTTCGACGTTCCGTGTACGCAGCAAGTGTGATACCAGTGGATGCGACTGCGCTCGTTCGGCGGTTAAGCGTTTGAAGCTCGGAAGTCTGGAAGATCCGACTGCAGCTGTAAGTTTAGCACCGAGACTAGACTTGCTCCACGGCGGCGCTACTCGAGAGATTCAACGGATCGTGTTGACTGTCACTGGCGCTGCTGTGGCGTACAACATTGGCGGGTTCCGCGTCCAGTTTGGCGACGAAGTGAGCTCTTTAACGCTAGGCACAGGAGGCGACGGAGGCGCTTCATTAAACGACGACGTCGGCTGTCTCGTGTGGGCTTCGGGTCCACTTGCAAGTGATGCGTCGCGAGATATGCTAGCTTTAGAACGGGAGCTCGAGAACTTTGCCGGAATTGATGACGTCCGTGTAAAACGTGCTCTGACTGAGACGTCAGGCGTTCGAGTGACGGTTGAGTACACGGTGGAGTTTATGGGCGTGCAAGTGCGCGGTAAGATGCAGACACTACAGATACTGGACGTGGGGATCAACGGCTGTAGTGCGTACGTCGGCGGCACGGCGGGTATTCCGTCTGTCCGACGTGACCAGGACAGCTTCGTAACTGTTTATCAGGCGCCAACAACGACCGCCATTCCCTTCGATGCTAGTGACGAAGACGTCAAGGCTGCGTTAGAAACCCTGAGCGTTGTTAGCAACGCGGACGTGGATCGCCAAGTGAACAAAAACGGCTACGACTGGCGCGTCACGTTCGTTGAATTCCCGGCGCCTACGAAGGACATGGAGGCGCGCATGTTCCCAGCGTTGACAGCGAACGGCTACGCGTTGCAAGCTGCGCAATCCCCGTCGATCAGCGTCACCCCGTTCCAGCGTCTTGAGCTGGACATGAAGTCGCTGGTAAGTGGCGGCGGAGTGTCAATTTACACGCGCGTTCGTGCTCATAACGCAGACGGGTGGGGTGACGCGGCAGTACCTACACCTGTCTCGATTCAACTCGCAGAACAGGTACCCGGCGCCGTCCGTCTCGCACGTGCTGACGTCCTATCTGATTCTCAAGTTCTTGTTCAATGGGATGCACCTGTTCACGATGGTGGTGAGCCTGTGACAGAGTTCCGCGTGGAGTGGTGGCTTACGAGTGCTCTCGCCACAGCTGCTAAGCCGTTTGCAGTGGTTCACGCCCTCGAGGCCGCATCGCAGAGCGTGACGGATGATGTTGCTACGATTACAGTCTCTGCTCCGACTGCAGGATTGAAAACCTACTTAGCCGGTACATTCCGCGTGGGGTTTGACGGTCAATGGAGCCCCGAACTCGCGTATGACATCTCGGCTGTGGACATGCAGGCGGCTCTTGTAGCTCTGTCTACGATTGAGAATGTTTCGGTGAACCGCGAGCTGACGGCAGGCGGGTACACATGGCTCGTGACGTTCTTGCAGCGTAAATACGGCGGTAACCAACACAAACGATGGCGGTCACCGCTTGCTACACAACCACCTTTGGGTCATAAGCTGGAGGTGTCTGGCTCGAACCTGTTGGCGTGCACCACGGCCGAGTTGATCGACTGTGTGCCGCATCTTCCGACGACTGTAGCTCCACGAGCTGCTGTCGACGCTACGCCGGAGCTGCAACATCTAGTGTGCATCTCGACGGGGAATGTCGCGGTGGCTAACACGATGAAGTTCAAGTTAAAAATGCTCGGCTTCGAGACAGATTTTATCGTTGGAACGGCGACCGCGAAGGATCTGGCGACTGCAATCACGGCACTGGGTGTCGTTGGAAGCGTGAACGTTCGCTATCGCGATACAGCACAGACGACCGTGTGCTCTGATAGTGCGACGGCTAAAGGCGTCACGGTCGAGTTTACCACAGCACAAGGCGATGTGCCGCCTATTGTTGTTACGACCACGACTGGAGTGGGCGTCACGATAAAGGAGCAACGGAAGGGCCGAGCTCAACTGCATGTCGGGAGACTGCCGTTCGCGTACGTGATCGACGGGCTTGCTGCCGGGACGTATTACGCACGCGTCGCAGCGTACAACAGCGTGGGCTTCGGGCCGTTCCAAGAAGCGACAGACGCCGCCGGCTTGCTGTTGGTGGCACGCCCTCCTGTCGCCCCTCGATCACTGCGCGTGAAGGCGAAGATGATCGACTACTCGCACGGAATGCTCGTGGTGTGGACGGCCCCGCGTAGTGAAGACGGCAACACTGACAAATATCGCGTGGAATGGGACCACGGTGCTGGATTTTCAACTCAATGTGGAGAGTACATTGAGACGCAGACGCTTGTTGCGACGAACGCGTTTGCTAACGTTGCCAACAAGAAGTTCACAGTGCGAACTGCCAATGGGGGCACCAGGATAGGCTGTGTGGACCCGGCCAACCTGGCGACGTCACTTCAGACACCGCTGCAGCTGCTTGGAGGCGTTTATGCCGGCGGCACGGCAGTGATACAGGGCGCCGACACGGCGACGTACGACTACGGTCGCACGTACACCGTCTCGTTCCCGCAACCCGTTGCAGTTCCTTCTGTAGGCTACGATGTCGCGGAGAATGCCGCCGTGGCCACGTCTCCAGTGGACATCCCACTGCTGTACTGGGACGCGGCCGATGCAACCTGTACTGCCACGCCGCCTGATTTGGTTGTTGCGCAGTGCTCAACGTATGGCCCTGGTCTCGATCCCAAGCGTGGACAAGGGCGCATTGGCTTTGATGCCAACAACGTGTTCAATAACGAGTGTTCGGCTGCATTGGCAGGTCCCATCGCTCGCCAGACTATTGACGCTTCCACGGCGATCACCAACGCGTTGAAGCCAGAGATCCTGAACCTCGCAGCGAAGAGTGGCGTGTTTGAGAGCGCAGATCTCGCTCGACCCGCACTGTGTGAAGCTTGCGCACAGAAGCTAACCGCAAACGGCGAGTTGACAGTGACGATGTCCGTGGCGTTGGCCGCTGGCGACTACTTCATCGTCGCCGACAGCCCGACTACAAGCACGTCAAGCTCTACACAACGCTGTGTGATGAAGGTGGTGAGTAAAAGTGGCAATGTGATCACTGTAGACCTCAGCGAACCCGGTCGCAGTGCATGTGAACTCCCCGTGACGTACGAGGCCAAAGCCTGGCGAATCTCGCGCTTCGAACTGCGCGCGCACACGATCCGAGACCTGACACCGGGACGGGAATACGCAGTTCGGGTGGTCGCTAGTAGCAATACTTTAGGAGACAGTCCTGCTCTCGCCATGGCCACCACGATCACGGCGACGTAAATGCTTCCTCGTGAATTCATCCATGACCTAAATAAATTTCCATTTTTATAATTTATATTTATTTTTGGATATACTCACCTTTCAGTTTTACTAACAGTTTACCTTTTGTACCAGATTATGTCACACAAACAGTCGGTTCTGTTGACTCAGATTTGGGCCTATTGAATCGGTACTTGGGTGCTGCAGCAGGAGCGGGTAGACGTCCTTGATGGTCACTGCGCTCAAGGCCCTGTAATCGATGCAAAACCTGACGCTCCCGTCCTTCTTCTGGACGATAACCACTGGAAATCCCCATGCACCTTCAGCGTACTCGATCACTCCTTGTTCCAACATTTCGTTAGCCTCTTTGCCGATCAGCCCGTTTTCTGCCACCGCGTTCCGGCGCCTTTGCATCATGATCAAAGCAGCATAACCGTATTGATGTTGTGTTCCACTCCTATCCTCGCTAATGATGGGCATCCCTGTTTCTTCTCCACGATCCCTGAGTACTGTCGCAACAATGCAGCCACTAAGCCTCTACCCTTCGGCTCCATCTCGACAATGTCCAGATTGTCTTCATCTTCGAGGGGCTTAGCATCGGCCTTCCGGAGTGTCTCCACCCACTCAGCTACACGCTCACGCTCCAGTTCACCATTAAACCTTAGCAACTGCATACCTTCCATCACTAGTATCCATGTTCCAAGAACCTCTCTTGCCGGTAGCTTCTCTCGGCGGCATTCTACGTTCATCACGGAGATCCGTACCATCCCGCTCTTCACAGTGTCGACCGTAGGTGCTAGCAGTAAATGCCTTCGGTGAATTGTCTTCTGCATGAAGATCCCTTCCGTGCCGTCTTCAGCGTCGACGCGCATGTGAACCATGTTACTGGTGCTGTTCGCCAACTTCCGGGCTTAGCAAGACGTACCATTGCCTTCCTTGGTTGCAGGGCCGATACTCCATGACAAGTGAACAGCCAAATCACCTACTCTCCGGTGACACTCACGTATTTCAGCTCCCGCTTGCTGAAGTCCATCTTAATCTGGTGCTGCACCATCCAATTTTCGCCCACCAGGAGTTCATCCTCTTGCCCTTCTACCAAAAGTGCGTCAGCTTGTATCCTCTGCTGGTACTGGGTAGGGCCCACGAATCGCCAACCTTCCAGGACTCGACTGATGCCTCCGCCAAATCCTTCCACAATGTCGACTGGAGCGTTCCGCGTAATGCATCGTCCGTATTTCTTAAGCTTCTCACCAGCTACACTGTATTGGACGCAACTGCCAAGTCGAACTTCTTGCGTATACCCCCGTGCCAGCGCCAACAATGCCGTAGGCAAGCAGCTCAGTCCGTCACTTCCAACTGCACGCAATGGGGCGACTCGCACTTACTTGCGGTTCTTCTTCGCTGGTTCAACACGTCCCGACACCAGTTCCTTCCGCCATTGAAGTCGTCGGAGTCGCTTCACGAACCGGAAACGCTTGGCGTTCTTCAATGCCTCCCTTCGCGCAGCTCGTATTTCTGCAAGTGATCCTTGCTCGACCAAATCACCGGGTGCTTCTTTCTCAAACTTTGCCACCCCTTACAGCCACTCATCCGTCGAGACTCCACCAGTGTCTTTCAGCGGGGTATCTCCATCTGTCTTGGCAGCTGAGATGCTCTTATCCACGACCTCGCTCTTGTTCGCCCCCAGTTGCTTGGCTGCTTCTTTCCGCTTCACTACTTCAGCGGCAATCTGCGCATCTCTCCGGTGCCGTTTCGGCTGTTCCAGGCCAGTGGATATCCGTAGTTCTTCAATTAGGTGTCGGGATCTCACTCGGAGTACTCTCGCACGAGCTTCCCGCTTCAGGGCCATTAGGATGCCTTGCTCTGCTGCCACCTCATGTTCAGCCCTTTGCTTCCGTCGCTTAGTTGACGTCGCTCTTCCAGCGCTTAGTGGCTCCACTTGGCGTTCAACTTCTGCTGGGATTGACATTACCCGCTTCGGTGGGCTCTCAGCCACCGCATTCTCCGACTGTTGTGCCCTCTACGACGCATCACCACTGACTGTTGGTTCGCGCAATACCGCAGGGTCTTTCTCTTCCTTCTCAGTGGTGCCCGCCCCGACTGGTTTCCCCAGTTGGTCACCTGTCGCCAGTTCTTTTCGTTTTCTCTCGCCTCCTCGCTCTTTCCCTGGACTAAGCTACTCGTGGTGTCACACCCTGTCGCAGTCAGACCACCGGGGTTTCCGCTCTTCCCCTGGACCGAACCAACTATCTCGTACCCATCTTCGTGGAGCTCGACCCACGCTTGGTGTTTCTCTTCCTGGCTCGTGTGCGGACATTCCTCACTTCCTCTCGGTTAGCATCGGGGTGTTCGTCAATCGCGAACAGCAGAGCCCCCATCTCTACAGTCGCTGGCCATTTCCGGAGCTGTTGCTGGCGTAGAGACTGGCGCGGCTGGTGTCGTGGCTACAGGGGCTTCACTTCCTCCGTTCGTGCTTGTTGTCGCTTACGCCGGCTGCTGCAGCTGTTGTGTCGGTGGCTGACCGTTCAAGTCTCTCAGCCGGGTTCTGCACTCTTGCCACCAATATCCGAGTTTACCGCAGTAGCCGCACTTTGTGTTCAACTTGCGTTGCTAAACGCCGGGCGCGTCCATCGGTTTATAGTGTCCGCTGCCGCTGTCTCCTCCGCGTCCACTTCGTTCCTGCCAATTTGGGTCCGTCGGCTGTCTTGAGTGGCGTGGTAGATAGTCTACCTACATGGTCTCATGTGATTCCGCTTTCACGTCTACCCTTGCTTTTGGCTTTATCGCTACCGGCTTCGTTTTGTCAGGACCACCGCGAGCTGTTAGGATCAATGCTTGCAGAGCTGCGATAGATAGTGGGTCTCTTCCTGCGGACTTCTCCCACTGGCTGATGGCATCTTCTTCGGTGTCGAACATGGGCTGCTCTTCATTCACTACCAGTCCTCCCAGGCCCAGTTTATTCCAGTCGCTCTGGTCTATCACTGCCGTAACTGATGCTTTCCGCTTAGCTGCGGGGGTTCCATCCGCGTTACCTCTCAGTTGTCCCGTCCTCACGGTACCGCTTCTTGGTTACTCGCCAGTCAGTCACTTTAGCGCCTTCATCGTATACACCGCTCGCATCTTCAGCCAATTGCACTGCATCGTCATTGTTAATGCTGTTCATGAATATTTCCACATAGGACTTCTCAGGGACTCTTTTGCCGAAACCGATTTGTCTTAGTCAACCAGCGAAGTCACCCAGTCGTTCTCCTGGCTGCTGTACCCTGGCCCTCTGTTGTGTCTTGAACAAGTTGTCACGGACGCCATACTTCTTGCGGAGCTTCTTGACCAAATAGCTCAGCGTCTTATCCTCCTCTCTCATGGTTTCCGTTAGCGTTGTCAGCCAATCCTCTGCTTCTCCTTGTAAATGCGCACTGACACCCGAGTATAATTCATTGGCCGCCCAAGTTTCTCCACCCAATCCTGCCTGTCGTTCCACTTCCTGCGGAATCTTCGCCAGCCACGCTTCGATCGATTCACTGGGCTTCCCGTGGAAGTCTGTTATGTTCAGAGTCTTCATCCTTGCTCGATGTGCTAGGGCTGCGGGTGGTTGCACTGCCACTGGCTTCACAGTCTTTGCTGGAGACCCCACTGAAGCGACCTGGTCTGCCGCGCCATGAAACGGTGACTGTACCTGCTGTGCTAGAGTAGTTGAAGGTTCATAAAGCCTGTCGTCTCTGCGTTCATGACGACGCGATGGACTGGTGTAGCCGACCAACCGTTTCGCGATAACGATTTGAAGGGTGTGTAGATCGCAAACAATATTCCCAGACCGAGCACCCAGATGATGGAGCCTAGGATTTTCTCACCTGTTTAATCCCAGACCCAGACGACGGCGATACCAGGGCCTAAATCGTCGAGGCCAGACTCAAGTGTGTTCAGGGCAAAGTGTATCGTCAATTGTATCTCGCTCAAGGTCGGCAAGGAGCTTTTTATGGAGCACGCACATATCGTCAATGGCCACGGCGCCGCGGAGGTGGTCATGACTTTCGACGAGGAAGGACAGTATCCAAACTGTAAGATCAGCGGCGGTGTGACCAATCTGTCGCTCGGCTTTCAAGGTGTGAATGTCGTTTGAGAGGCCATCCACAGTGTGTTACCCACAAAGTGCTCCTGTACCTCGCAGTCAAGGCTGGTGTATACACAGGAATTTTTACAAGTATCGTGACTTTTAATCACTTGTACCGGTAACGTTAGTATAAACATGGAACAACCTACTGCCCAGGTTTTTGGTGCATAGCCGTGCGACTATTGACCAGGTTTAAGCACAGGTTTCGCCAGGTTTCTTGCCAGGCTGTAATTAATAAAGTAAAATACCATGATTTAAAAATATTCCCCTACACCTACTAATCTCATGATACGGCACCTGATCGCACGTATCTCTGCAGCGCAGCTTCTCAAAATCCATTCATTTCCAAATTTGAGCCGTGCTGGAGGAATGAAGCGCAAAGCCCACTCTGAAGACGAAGCGTCCGTCAACGAAGATCCTCCAGCCTCTTTGTCCAGCGTCTCAGAATCGGAAGGTGAGAGGGAGGTGGCCACGCAGGTTGGCGGCAGTGCTAGCGACGAGGAGTTTCCAGCAGACCAGGAGGGCTCTTTTGAAGGGAAGGAGCTGCGTCGCTACCACACAAACTGGGAAAGCTGGAAGAAATACCGCGAATCGTATTGCGAATCCGAAAGTGCGCATCTTGTGGTGCACGAATCGGAGAGTGTCGTCAAACGCAACAAGATGCTGCGTGCTTCTAAGCGCGCCAAGGACGGTGGTTCGATGCGATACTTACCCGAAGACCTTCCCCGTTTTCGCCGGAGATACATTTGTACGCACGGGTCGCGGACCCGCCGCCGTGGATCTGGAAAGAGACAGCAGTTCAAGCTTCGAGGTACTGGTTGTCCATTTCGCTTTACTGCGGAGAGTGTGTACCACAAAGGAAAGTGGATTCTAGAGATCAAAAATCCCATCTACACTCACAACCACAAACTTTCCCAGGACATTTACGAACATTATCCACACAATCGCCAAGTTCCGATGTTTGAGCCTCTAGTCGAAGACCTTCGGTTGATGGTACGCGCTGGAGGCAAGAGTCTCCGAATTTACGAGTACATCCGTGACAACTCCAGGTACAAAGTGACGCAGAGAGATGTGGCGAATCTTCTTACCCGAATTCGCAATGAGCTCCGTGGACAGGCCGATGATGATTTGGCTGTTGCCGAATTCCTTGTCGGCTTCGGCGAGGAAGACAAGAACAACGTGGTAAGTGTCGATGACACGTCAACGGGGGAGACAGGATCAATCTCACTGAGTACAGGCCACATGCGAGCGACGTTTGCTAAGTATCCGGAGCTGTTGCTGGTGGACTCTACGCACAGAACCAATCGGTAAGTTCATAACAGGTTCTACACCAGGTTTACATTCCTTGTTTCAACCAGGCTTCCAACAGGATACGAATCAGGTTTCGTACCAGGTTTCCTACCAGGTTTTAAGCTACGGCTCAAAACAGGATTAAACTGTTCATTCTTTTTAACACTTGTTTTTATGTTTTATAGATACGACTACCAGCTTTGCAGTCTGATGGTGATAGATGCCTTCGGGTCTGGTCAGTTCGTACAGCACTCCGTTATCGAGACCAACTCAAATTGGCATATGCGGAAGGTCCTCAGCCACTTCAAAACTGCCAATGTCATCTGGGAGTCGCTCCGCGTGGTGATGGCTGATAAAGACATGAGAGAGATCAGTGTGATACGGGAGGCATTTCCGGATGCTACTATTCTGCTCTGTCATTTTCACGTCTTGAAGTTTTTGCGAAGTGTGGTTCGTGAGGCTCGCTTCGGACGCTATTCGGCAGACGAGTACGACTCGATGAATCATCTCTTCTCCAATCTGGTAGACGCTCCGTCCAACGAGGAATACGCGAAGAATTATTCTATTTTGGAGAAGTTTTCCTGCGCGCATGGGAACACCTCCTTCTGGGAATACTTCTGTGAGAATTGGGACAAGTCGAAGGACATGTGGACTAGATATCGCCGCCAAAGACTGCCGCATTTTCGCAATAATACGAATAATCGCATCGAGTCCAATTTTGGAAAGCTCAAACTCGATCTTGATTCATCGTCCACAATGAAGGAGTGCTTGGAGTCTCTCATGCGTCATCAGCGTCGCGTAGAAAATGAAAGTTTAGCGAGAGAGTCGTTCAAAGGAAGGTGGACGCATTATGGCTATGATCAGGAGTTAAACTTGGTGCTGCGTATTTGTACATCTTGGGTAGCGTCTACGATGAAATCTGAGTACGAGTTTGCTATTTCGAGTGAAGCCACAGCGCTATACGCCTTCCTTGAAAAGCCAAGCGATACCGTTGAGGTTATCAGCGGAGATCATCGTCACAATTTTTCAAAAATGGAGTGGTGCTGTGACTGCGATTTCAACCAGACGCTGAAGTTACCATGCCGTCATGTTATTTGCTATCGTCGAGTATCGGCTTTAGTTCCTGTGATTCCAGTGTCATTTATACATGAGCGCTGGTTATCAACTGGTGCCGCCCGCCCGGTGTCTCTCCCCCCGGTTGACCGCTTCAACTACACGAAGACAACTTGCCCCTTACGGAGTTACGATTCATCGACTGTTTTGGATTCGCGACAGAAGTATGGCGTAACTCGAAACTTGATGAGTCGGATATCTAGCGAAGTTTCCGATTTACCGATGTCTCAGTTCTGTAAGGAAACTGAATTCCTCAACGGATATTTGCGCAAACTACGAACGGGAATCACAGAAGCGCGGTATGAACCTGATCGCTGTCAGTCCGAAGATGCTGTCCTAAATCCAGGAAAACCTATAAAACCTGGGAGGAATCCTGGGAACAAACCTGTCGGGTTTAAAGGACAAAAGCTCAACATCTGCGAGATAGACTCGAACACATTTGTCGAAGCGTGCGAGGATATAATATCACAAAAACGTGATACGGACAATGTTGAAGGAGAGGCCAAGACTCAAGAAACAGGGAATGACTCGGACTTGAAAAGAAGTAGTGTCGAAAAACCTGACGCAATACCTACATCTACACCTGGTGTAAGACCTGGCAGTCAAGCTAGTGAACCTACGACGAACTCTACAGAGGACGGCTGCAAGGATCTATCAACAACGGAATCGTCTACCATCAAGTCGATTAACTTAAGCAAAAAGGTGAGGCGCGCCGGAAGACCGAAGGTTACAGCTGCTCAAAGGGTACAAACCAGGCGGGTTGTTCGAGTTATGCTGACACAGGAGTTGAAACTGAACAGGAAGGTGAGAATGGCGGAGCTACCCGCTGATGTTGTGCAAGAGCTGAAGACGTGTGATACGAAACTCGTTTTCCTTCCACTCGATTTTGATCGCATTCACTGGACGTCCATTGTGATCAACACTGCGACCAAGAGCATTTTCATTTACGACTCTTTGGGAGATCCAGACTACATTGCGTACCTGAACAAAATCAAAACGCGCCTTTGCAAAGAGAGCAAGTTTGCTTCGTACAAATCCGTTGTTGTGGCATCTCCTACCCAGAACGACGGGAATAGCTGTGGTATTTACGTACTCAACTTTATGTGGAGGCTTCTTGACGACAAGATCAGCAATGTGCAGAAGGACCCTCAGCTGAATAGCTTTAGAGTTCGGATGTTGTCCGCACTACTAAGGCAATAAATGCACTCATTTCATGTCAGATATTGAAGTAGTGTTTGAGTCCGAGCTTATCCGTATTGCCGCCGGTAAAACCTCAAGTACAAAAACCTGTTTTAGAACCTGTTGTCAAACCTGCTAGATACCCCTTCACATATTTGGGATATCGTGCTGATATCGCTCTAAGTACAACAACCTGGAGTAAAACCTGTTTGAATACCTGGGATGATGTGGCGTGTCACGTTTACATGCACAAAACTGGCGTCCCAGACACTGTATGAGCCCCACACAAGAATTGCAGACCTGCTATCCAATCATTACGATTACAGCAACCTCCGCACTTCAACAAATTGGGTTGTGCAAATCCTTTTATTCTACCGTCTCGTGAGGATGCAGAGCTCTAAACAAAACAAAGAAAGGCCAAGATGCGTAAATTACATTTTTATTTCAATGCGAAATACATTACGACCTGGTTTCAATCCTGCTTCAGGTTGTGTACCAGGTTTAATTCGCACATCTATGCACCAAAAACCTGGGCAGTAACATCGTGCTATAAACATACCAAAAATTGTAGGCACTCACAGGATCTTGAAAATTTTTTTTTCTACATTTGCGAGACACTAACAAGCAGCAACTATAGTCGGCATGTATTAGTGTTTGTAGACTAGTACCTAGAAGGACCATGCCAGTATCGTGTAAGCTTTTTATCGTTTAATTTAGACTTCAGTAAGCGCTTGATGCTTCTATAAGCTATCACCACGACTTTGTCTACGGAACTATATGCTTGAGGCTGGTAGCATAAACAATGATGTTTTGAAATAATAGTAACATGCGCACTTTCGCTCGCGTTTTTCGGCAAAACTTTAATAATCTTCTCTCCAGTTTGTTCCGATTCCGATTAGTCATGTTCTTAAAATACCAGTCATTTGAGCTATGGCTTTTTTTAGTAGCCGTCGCATTCTAGCGCGTTCATTAACTTGGTGAATCCAACGCGAGCAAAGAAAGGAGTAAATAAACAGATTAGTAAAATGCACGCAAATGAAAATAATGCAACGGTAGAAGTTACGGTGAGCGGTGACTGCGAGCGTATACAGTTGTGCACCTCCAATTCGGCAGGGCGGACCATATCAACAGTGCCAGGGCATAAGTGCACAGCGTAAAGCAAAAAACAAACGCAAATCCAGTGCACTGATATTGATTTTGTTAATTCAGTACAAAAATTACGTTTAGTTTTGAGACGATGCCTGTGTGGCACCAACAGTTTCTAATTGTCTTTGCAGATATGTTGTTCCAGCCTTCAGACAACCAGTTTATGGCGGAGTAAACGTCGACCGGCGTGTAAAAAACACCCTTGTAGAACAGGTCCAGCTCCGCGGCTTGCTTCTTGTTCTGGTACTCGTTCTTCAGGCACTTAATGATGAACGTCCGCCGACCGCTTAAGAATACTTTGGACGGTAGTGCGCTTCACTGGTTGGGAGGTATTAAAGCGCTCCGTTGCCCAACGAGCAAGTTCGGAGTGAGAGCATGCAGGATCTGACTTGTGCTTCTCGCACAAAGACTGCTTTTGTGCTAGAGTTAGGGACATGTAGGAGGAAGGGCGATGTCCCATTGTCTTTGGCGGTAAAAATCAAAGTGTGTGTTTGTATGAAGACGTCCGATCCAAAATTTAAAATCAGATCGATGCGGCGTGTCAGAGGAGAGGAAAACCGTTGAAGTTAATTGCTAGGGTGGTGATGGGCAAAGGTAATTGCGCATCCGATTCGCGTAATCATAAAATCTGGCAGGGTACCGACTGATACCGGTGCCGAATTGGAGGTGCACGACTGTATATACGCTACATACTCTTGGCTGCATTCTAGCTGGCCGTAATAAAATTGAACGAGAAGAATAAATGGGAAATTGCATACGTATTGGGTATCTGGTTACATGTATCTGCTTTTCTTACACTTCGCTAACGGATCGGTTCTCCAAGAACTTGAGCGATTTGTCGTCTTCGCTCTTACGTGGAAAAACGACGATCAAAAACACTTGTACGAAGCACAAACAGCCGCTGATGACGTTTGGGACGATGACATAGTAATCCGTTACCATTATTCCGTAAATTGACCAGAAGACACCGTTGATGGCGCCGGAGATAGCCATAGGCGCTGCAATGACCTCGGAGTTTCTCGTCTTAACGACCTCTCCAAGCTGCAGCAGCGGTGATCCAAACATGATAATGGCGAGGACGTCTGCACAATAGCCTAGCACTTTGGCGATATCGTCGTCGTCTTGAGAGCTCTGGCATCGGTACACGACCAAAGCGACCGTGATGGCGAAGACGAAAAGGAAAAAGGCGATGTAGCGTACCCTGGAATTTGTCTCGTGGAAGATACAGACGCCCGAGAAGATGGCACCGAGCAGCACACCGAGGCAGTTGACGGCTCCCACGGGGAAGAAGGAGTCATCAGCCCAAGAGTAGATAGCCCAACCAGCGGACTGGGCATACATCATTGCGAGCGGGTAGTAGTTGATGCCCACCATACTTTTCTTCTTATGAGCAGCCCAAATACCAGGTACCATACTCAGAAAGATACAGACCGTAGCGATGGTCGCGAGGACGCTGACGATTGTTTCAGCCGTGTCAGATGCCATGGTGTAGAGTAACTTGGACGGTAAAGGAGAAATGAAGAATGAGTTCGTCTTGGAATCTCGAAAAAAGTTGGTGCGGTTTTGAGTGATACGGACACCAGCTTCAGCAATAATAATATGTGGGTATCAAGGAGCATGTCAAAATTCCGTATCGCTTGAAACTGAAGTTTCGGAGGTTGAAGCTAACTGGCTTTTCAGCATGATTTGTGCCTGACCTCGTCTGTTCTGACGATAATACTGTAAACAACTGTACATGCAAGTTGCAGTTGCAGTGCTAGGTGTAATACTGTACATGTACTGTAGTTGCAATTTGCAGCTGGGACTGTACTGTAACTTGCCTGTACAATGTATGTTTAAAGACATCCATAATGTAAATATGAACCGATAGCCCTTTCGTGATACTTGTACAGCCATGTCCAGTGGACATTGTCCACAGGGGGTACTGCGTTTAGGAAAAATACAAAATACCCTTTTGAAGTTTTCAAAAGCACCCCTTGAAAAATGACGGAAAATCTACCAGGGGAGGCCAATTAAAGCGGATGTAGGTGTTATTGAAGACTACCTTGAGATGTGAAAAAGGTGCCCTATCTTATAAAAAATCAATGTAATCGCCATTTTTATTTTCAAATTCTCAGGTTTCTCTCTTTTCGGTCAAAGGGGCACGATTTTGAAATTACCCCGTGCGGACTTACCTGTACCAGTCTGTGGTCAACACATTGAAGTTCGGGATTATGCGAGCTTGAAGTCCCATCATACGGTACCAAGCTGATATGTTGGATAGACTACAGTAATTTAATGAAACGTCCTCGTGATGTATCCTTTAAACAAAGTAGCCCGTAATAGCACATGTTTAATTGTAATTATGATCCTAATTCGTGTCTGTTGAAATTTAACAAACAAGAGCAATAAATTAAGACACACATATTTTTTTAGCTATTAGTTCTGCAGCAGACAGCACCCGAGTGACTGAAGGTAATGCGCTTTAGCAGTACACTGTAGCAATTTGTACTGTACAACTTAAAAATTTCCACCTCTCTGACTCGTACTGAATTGCGACTGTAGATACATGTACAGTACATGAACACTACAGATGATCATCAGATCGTATTTGTCCTAAGATTGCCACCGGTACTGTGTCTGTTTTCGCCGATCATACACTACATGTACTAGAACAGTAAACGATAAATGTACAGCAGCACTGTACATGTACATGATTGCAAATACCGTAAAAGCTTAGTTATGGGATACTCTTTGTTAAAAATACACCACCATCTAACCAATCAGAAGCAACAAGTATGCCTCAACATTTTATAACGTTCCCCAAGCTAAACTTGGCACCGTAAGTATCGCTATTTTATGAAGATTCACTACACATTTTTACAATGCAGATCAAGTGTACCTCTTAACTAAGGTTACACGGTACATGTCCATGTACAGGGAGTAGCGGCAATAAGAAAGGGTACAACGAATTAAGAACTGAAGGCGTATACGTTACTTAAGTCAAAACAAATCGAGGAGGTCTCAAATGTATTGTATTAAAACATTAATATCTTACTCGATCGGATTGAGTAGATCGTCAATTTCACTTCATCAACATATAAACCAACATGTCTCCAGTAGTTTCTAGTATCCTGTGACGGTACCTCGTTCGCGGCATTCGATATTCACTGAAGCGCTTCGGATGGTACGATACTGTACGGGTCCGTGTCCCCGTCAAGTAAGCGTAGAGCTGCCTCTTCTGTCCGTGCAGACATAAAGCGCTGCTTCAGCCACGCTATGACCCCTTGGTCCATAGTCTGGCGTTATCCAGCAGCAGAATATGTATGCCATGCTCAGCAATCACCTTGTCTAGTATTTGTAGCCTTTTTTGGAAAAGCTTCACTGTCATCCAGCCCTTCCCAGTGCCGTGATATGTAGCCAAACTAGGCATATCCTGCAGCCATCGTGGCCTCTTAGATTTCCCCAAAAACATAGCTTTTTGAGGCCGTGGCAAGCCATAAAGTGGTGCTGCCATCCGCTTTTGGTAAATTTCGCCTACTTTGTGAGAGGTATCTTTAAGATCTCAGCGAGCGCTCGCGCAAGCTACCGCAGCACGTCGCGACTCAAACTCTGCCAACTGCTCCACCCAGTACGTCTCCAGCAGCAACCACGTGGGTGACGAGGCCTTCTTGCTGTCTAAATAGTCAATCGATGTCGAGAGCAACTGTGCCTCCCTCCTCAGCAGCTTCGAGACAGTATGGACGGAAGGCGGCTTTGGTAGCCCGAACGCGGACTGGACCCAGACGGCGAGCTTGCAGTGGCTCCACGCAGGATACTTGGCGAGTTGGCGGCAGACATGAAGGTGCTGCTGCAGCTTAAGGCGAATACGCCGGGGGAGCGAGACACTTCGCATTGTGTCAGCGCAAACGTAGGGCCGATTCTTCATCAAGCAC